GATCCCCACTCAAGTCCACGAAGTCGACGAATAAGAGATGTCGTCATCGCCGTCTGACGTACAAGATTCGTTACGTGCCGACGCCAACATAATCGGGAATCAAGATCGACCCCCAAGTATCGATAGCTACGCACCCGTGGTACTCGAGTCCCACATAAAGTAAGCCGCGGAAATCCATGACGAAAGGGACGGCGGGAACAAGCGAGCACCGCTGTTTTTTGCGGTGAGACGGAAAGTCCGAGGTCTTCTAGCATGTTTGCAACACGCGCGAGGGATATTTGCATGAAGGGACGTAGAATGCGTCGATCAGAGTGGGAAGCCCACAAACAGATGTCATCTGCATAGATGATAATACCACTAGGGTGTGGTGATTTATGCATGCATAAAGGTATTGTTGTCATTACGATATTAAAAAGCACTGGACTAAGGCAACTACCTTGAGGTAACCCACGCAACAGTGGATGCACGGCTCCCGTAGTCTTGCCCAAGCAAACACTAATTGTCCTGTTGCTCAGAAACTCTCGGAAATATTTTAGCATTCCTCCTGTTATGCCAAGGTGACTCAAGCAGGCAAGAACTACATCATGTGGAACCGAGTCAAAAGCTCGTTCAACATCAAGAAACACTGCCAAAGCAGTGTCTCCTCGTGAACGAGCGTCTTCCAGCGCTGATGTAAGGCTCGCAATACAGTCAGCAGTGCAGCGTCCACTTCTGAATCCCGCTATTTCAGGTGGCAGTGCTTCAATGTCGTCAAGGTACCACTGGAGACGCGTAAGCACCAAGCGTTCTAGAAGTTTCCCAGCACACGAGGTCAAAGATATTGGGCGGTACGAGGACAATTCCGACGAAGGCTTGCCTCGTTTTAAAATGGGGGTTACTACAGCATGCTTCCATTCTTGCGGAAGAATACCAGTAGTCCATGCCAAATTTAAGCGCTCGAGCAAGACGACGCGTGACTTGTCACTCAGGTTACGCAATGCTTGGTAGGTAATGCCATCAGACCCAGGAGCACTGTGGCGTTTGCATTTCCTAAGAGCCGCATCTAGTTCCGACATATTGAAAGGATGATCCATACTCTCCGGACTCCGTGCAGGACCAGTCAGTGATCGAGGATGTGAAGATCCAGAAGGGCGTTGGGGTACAATGAAGCGCACCGCAAAATCATCTGCAAGTCGTGATAATTCAATGCCAGTTTTAAGACTGAGGGCGATGAACACATCTCGACGTGTTGGAGAGCAGCCCATACCTCTCAGTACTTTGTAGATCTTTGGCTTAGGTGTACATGGAGTTAATGAAGAAGCAAACTGACGAAATTGTCGACGGCGAAGTACGCGAGTATGACGGAGTAAAGCTGACGTAACACGACGACAGTCTATCCAATGGGAGACCTTGCCAGATCGGCGCGCACGACGCTGAGTGCGGCGGCGAACAGCACGTAAGCGTACGAACTTCAAATCCGGGGACGGCTGAGATATCCTTAATGATATTTTATATGTGGATTGAACGAGACATGCGGGAATATCTTTTAATATATCCTCTGACGGCTCAAGAAAGCGAAAATTTGCGCGAAATAAGTCCCAGTTGGTTACACTGTATTGACGACGTGGGAGGCGGGTCACTTCGGGTATATTCATCAAAATTGGAAGATGATCGCTTCCACGTGTGTCCGCATCCAACGACCAGTACACGTCTAGATTGGGGGAAGCGAGAGTAAGGTCCAGCACGCTAGGTTCTCCGCGATGACCAAAAAATGTAGGAGAGCCGTCATTCAGAATAATCAAATCTGTTGATTCAATCTCATCTGCGAGAGTCGTACCCCGAGGCGTCGTGCGTTTACTACCCCAGAGAGGATGGTGTGCGTTAAAATCTCCGCATATAAGGAGATGACCAGGAAATTGAAGACGTAGGCTACTAATGCACTTCGCATCAAAGCGACCAGTAGGACATATATATACAGACACAATGGTCATCTTAAAGGAGCGAAATATGACCGTGCATGCTGCAAATTCAGCTGTTTCTGTACACAGATGGGACACATCTTCTGCAGCTTGCTGCACACTAGAGTGAACAAAGAGTGATGCCCGTGACGAGCTGTTAGGCGTGGCCGCCGCGCTAGGGTAATAGACATAGGGCTGAATTCGAGAGCCATGTCTGAGGCGGCATTCCGAAATTGCAAGTATAGGCACCGGTTGAGATGAAAGGTAATACTGCAACTCTGCTAATTTAGAAGTGATGCTGCGGGCGTTCCATTGTAAGATAGATGGGCAGGAAGCCATAAAAATAAAAATGAGGAGAGTAAAAACTTTCATTGCAGAAAACTTTTGACCAGGGGCTCTATAAGTGTGATAAAATTCAGGAGCTGGTTTGCCCATGGATACTGTAGAAGCGGGAGAAACTGTCGCGCTATGACCAGCATTTGGCGTACGAAGCTACCTAACGAGGAAGTGAGGGTGCTTGGATTTTGGAGGGACGGTATCGCCTCCTGTCCAACACTAAGAGGAGCTTGAGTGGTCGGGAGTACAGGTCCGGCCTGAACTGGTGGTGACGACGGTGGGGGCTCGTTTTGCAGCGCTGCTTTGTAGCTTTGTCGCACGTTGCTCTCGCCAGAGGAGACAAGGACAGGTGCTTCCCTAGGCGGAGGCTCTGTGTCCATTGGCTTCGGGGCTTCGGCGACAAGCGAGGATGGCGGGTCTTGTTTGTCTGCAATAGGTTGTTCTGCCTGGCGTCGTCGGGAATGACGTCGTCTCCGTTGAAATTTTTCAGTTAGAATAGCCATCTCTGTTGCAGCTTCGGCTCGTGGAGCCGCCTGCTCGGCCGTACGTTTGTCAACTTGGGCTCGTGCTTCTGCGAAGGACACATTGTTCTCGCAGCGATAGCGACACACGGAGCGCTCAGCTTGCCAGAATGGGCACTGTTGGGATGTTGTTTCATGTGGTTTCTTGCAGTTGACGCAAAGAGTGCTCGAGCCTTTGCATTCCGTAGTTGCGTGAGCTTCTGCGCATCGGAGGCAAGTTAGCGACCGCTTACACACAGCCGCAACATGGCCAAACAAACCGCATCGGTGGCATTGGATGGGGTTGTTAACATACAAGTCGACGCCATGTCGAACCAGGCCGACGTAGACGTGCTCCGGAAGTGTAGGAGAAGCAAACTCAACACGAATAGTAGTGGACTTGCCGATGCGACGGACGTTGCGGATGCCTACTGTTGAGCGCAAAACTCCGAGTATTGCGGAGTCAGAAAGGGTGCTGTCAATGTCGCGGACAATTCCAACGCTGGAGGCCTTTCCACGAGGCTCGAAAGCACGCACTTTCATACCGCAAAGCGTGGTCTGCCCAAGAAGAGTACGTGTCGTCTGTCCATTCCGCGCGTCAATCGCTAAAAGATTCTTCCGCCTGTTAAAGCGCACCTCAATAACACACGAAGGCACGAGCGTCTCCAGAGTGGACGTGAGGCGAACAGAAGTGATGGAGTCAATTCTTACATCTCTATCCACAGGAGTGAAAAGAACTACGAGACCGACAGTGGGCTCGGTTTGGGTGATGATAGTCTGCTCGCTAGAACCAGAGCCTTGACTTGGGCAGCGTCTCTTTGTTCCGCGGACGACATCCTGGAACGCACCTTGATTGTCGTCGGCAATTGAGCCCGAAACGCTGGCGATTTCTTCGTCGTCAGGCGGGAGCGGTTCCGCCATGGCGGCGACTAAGGACGTTGAAATTTCCATGCCTTGCCGGCTGGAGTGCCGCGCAACGGGCCAGCCAGAACCTTGCAAGCCAGCAAGAACTGCTTATGATGAAGTCAGAGAAAAAAAATACTCACTGGCGATGGGCAACGTAGTATCAGTAAGCAGAGAAAATAGGAGCGAATCTTAATATCAGATGAATAACCATTTATATGAACGTATTGTTTGCGATGTGCAAGGTAAGACGTCATGAGAGTTGATGCATGCCAACGAAATCCATACATTTGTAGTTTTTTAGTAGCAGACTATGATCTAAGTGATCGAATGCTTTGCTGAAATCAATAAAAATACCAAGAGGATCATTTTTTTTCTCCCAAGCTTTTCAAAATGTATTCTTTTTGCTCTATAAGTGCCAATTCTGTAGAACGGTGTTTGCCAAACCCAAACTGTGATGGAGTGATTAAACCGTGTTTATCTATGAATTGCACAATAGCGAAAGTAGAAATTTTTCGAGGCCTTTTGAAAACACTGATAAAATTAAGATTGGCCTTTAGTTACCTATATCATTCTTGACACCTTTTTTATAGAAAACGCTAACTTTCGCAATCTGCATTTTTTGGGGAAATACCCCATTGTACAAGCACAAATTAAAGATATACGTCAAACAGGAACTCCTTTGGTTGAATGTGGTCATACGATATAATGACGTCACGGCGTTTTCCGCCAGGTGCAACGCCGACGCCACGAATGCAGCTGAAAATTTACTAAAACTGATATTACCGTAAAATTACTTTTCGCACCACCGCGAATCATGGTTCTGGATCTTGGAGGACTTGTTTTCTTACGGTTAGCGAGTACGCATATGAATCTCTTTATTCCACAACATCATAACATGTCTGAATATTGAACACACCAGAATTCTTAAGACATGAATATTGCGGTTTTCCACAAGCACGGCAGTATTCAGGTGACGCAACACAAATCCATTATTAACCTCACTTTGCGTGTTTAATTTCGAACAGTTGTTATATCGCCAGGGGGTATGTTATAATCCTCAGCTTCTGAAATATTTTGGAAGTGCGAACTTTCAGAAATAAGATAACCTGAGTCATTTTCTCGCCCACAGGACAACGCGACATGGGACCGGGTTATCTCGAAAAGCATAGCGTTCCTAAGGTTTACTAAGACGGATATGCCGTGCAATATCTTAGCTGGTATGAGAATTTACTAAATTTCTGAGTGAATTTAAAATAACAAAATTTTTTAATTGTTTCTTTACTATCGAGTTCCTCATGGTTTCAGAAATCAACGCATGTTTATCTTTGAATGTGGGATCTTTTTATTCCATTTTACGTATGAAGACACCTGCAGATGTCTTGGTCGCTGCACTCTGCACTGAAGAGCCGATTCCCCTGGGCTTTTTGACAGTTCTTCGTGCAGTCTTCGATGTTGCATGCTAAAAAGAATGAAATGCATTAATTTTTATTCTATTACGAATAACTGATATTAATTTCAAGATTGAACTAGAATATTTAGACACTCTGCCGGTATGCGACATACCTTATTACGATGCAGTCATGGCAACATAGCTCGGATTGAAGATATATATTTCATGATCGATATTTTCACTTGGGTGAGAATATTTAAAGAAACTTTTTTTTTCTCCTTCGATATATATTGGTATTAGAAGACTAGCCCATTTATATTTTGCCACAATATCATATATTATTAATATAGTAAAAATAGAAAATGCAACTGCTTGAAACACAAACAAAAGCTTGACTGGGGAGGAAGAGGAAAGAAAGAGGAGGAGAGAATTGCCGAAAATTACGTGGCTCTGGAACTTTTTTTTCTTCCAATCAACGTATTTACAGTTCTTTAGAAGCCACAGAAATGGGCATCATATTTCTTCTATTTTTAATATGAGTCGGTGCGTTCGATGACCCACAAATTTGATTCTGTTCGGTGGTTGTGTCTAAACCGTAGGAAACGGCACTTGACCATGGAGAATAGAGTGAGCGCGATTTAAACCAACTAGTTATCGGTCGGCGGTTTTTAGGCGGAAAGAAAAGAAATTTCGAGCCGCAAATTGTGTTCTGGGCGGTTGGGGTCTCATGTGTCATGTACAAATAAAAACCTTTGCGAGCGTAAAAACCGTGTCAGTGTCCCTTTAAGCAGACAAATTCTGGGAAGAGAAGACCCACCTGGAAAAAAGTTTATTGGATTCGAGCTCTCCTCACAACCGTCGGCAGGAGAGGAAAGTTCGCCAGAGATTTAGTTGATGGCGGTCAATGTACACCTATGAATTGGTTATTAGTTAGAGATGTCTGAAGGGGAAGCTTAGTTGGTTTTGGAAACCTTAGAACTCTCAGATATAGTGCGTGAGTGGAAGTCTTTTTTTTTCTTCTAAACTAAGTACAAGGTGTGCGGTTCACACACTTCGCCTTACCTTCTCTTACAATGTTCACAACTTCAAAATACAAACATATAACAATTTCAGGTTTAACCAACGTCACAAACAAACGACATGGGATGTCACCGAATTTAACAAGGGAACTTACACTATGTGTTGCTTTCTTCTCACTAAACGTTCATTTTCGAATGTAGTTATTTTTACTGTACGGATTAAACACGATAACGGCATACAAGTGTTTTTTTCCTTACTCGAACATTAGCAATGCGTGCATGGTCTGTCCAACCTAGCAGGACATTGAAGTCAGTGACGTCCCTATGGGGCTTACTCCACGTCAGTGCTTAATGAACTTTCACATTTATCGATTTGTCAGGCTGACATATTGTCCTGAGAAGTTTTATTATACACATATGTATGCATCTACAGCCGGATTCCCGGTAAACGATGCTAAAATAGCTCAATATCTTTATTTGTATAAAATGTGTACTTTAGTGTTCAGTTTAACCTCGTGACATTTCAATGAGTTAATTCGTATTAGCAAAAAAAAAAAAAAAAAAAAAATTGTAAGTTTTGAACGTCGAAGACAAGCAGGTGAACCACACTCAGGCTTTGGCGTTTAATCGAGAAATAGAAGGCGGGATTTAGATGACCTAGGTAACAGATGCGCCGGAAGCGTGCTTGCGCAACCAGATTTTTGCGTGAGTTTTTTTCGTTTTTGTTAACCTAACTGTGCTTTCCTAACCTTAGGTATAAGTTAAGTTACACAAATATTATGTCAAAAGAGGCTGCCGTCGCCGTGGAACTTTTTTAATTGTGAATTGTGACACCGAAGATTGAGAGGTGTACTCTCGGGCACCATGACAGAACAGCACACGACAAAACAGCACGCGACAAAACAGCACGGTCAAAACAGCACGCGTCAAAACAGCACAGCGTCAAAACAGCACGACGACAAAACAGCACGCGTCAAAATAGCATGCGACAAAACAGCACAACGTCAAAACGGCACAGCGACAGAAGAGCACGTGCCAAAACAGCACGGCGTCAAAACAGCACAGCGTCAAAACAGCACAGCGACAAAACAGCGCAACGCCAAAAGGGCACAGAGACAGAACAGCACACGACAAAACAGCACGGTCTGAAAACAGGACATTGACAATATAGCTAGGGTTTGGCATTTTCAGTTTTTATGATTTCTAAATTCGGCGTACCTTTTTCGGCTTTTATTCGAAACAAATTGTCGGTTTATTGCTGTGTATATTTGTAGACTGATAAACTTCTCGGTTCTTTTCGGTTTATTGACGAGAATCAGTATACTGCCGAAAATGCAGTATCTTAAAGCGTTTGTTTAAAATGCATAGTGAATAAACCAGGTATTGATTTTCTTAATTATTGCTGTCTGTGGCAGCCGACGTGACCTGTTCTGCAAGGCGCACTGGGACCCTATCGTGATCTGATATTATCGTCGTGTGCTCTTATTTGTACGTACACTGGACGAACATGAGCTTCACTACAACTTCGGTCGGAGAGCCACATTTCAAGATCCAGATATTTGCAAGCATTGTACTTAGTGCGTTTTTTTCCCCATTTTCGCGACTGCAAGGGGTGGTAAATTCGCGTTACATATCCATATTGCTTTCATATTTTGTATCTCTGAATTTCGTTTAGTGTATAGTCACGTACGCAGCATGATTGAGCAGAAACGATAATAAAGCAAATTCGTATGTATGCCCTCCTCTAGTAGACGGAAGGTAGGGGTGTTAAAAATGTGGGGCATTTATGGCCGTCCTTGATTTTCATTGTTCAGTTCACGATGAAACTCTCTTCTTTGAACAAAGAATTCGGCACACAAATTCATATCAGGTGAAGGACCCAGATTTCGTTCTGAAGACCCCTGGGCCCCCGGAGCTTTTGTTGAACGTTGAGCCGATCTCGGAGAGAAGCTGAAAACTGCGAAAGGAAGTGGTATACGGTCAGTAATACCTCCCTGCCTCTCCGAACTTCCTCGAAAATACTGACCTTTTTTAATTAAAACCGAATTTGATAAAAAATAATTCGGCGTACTTTATTCGGTTTAAGCCGAAAAAGCTGAACCCTAAATACAGCGTATGGAGTAAAAAAAAAAAATGGATATCTCAAAGTAGGCACTGTAAAATAATGGAGGGTCAAGGCCAATTCGTCGAAAGCCAACTCGTCGACGGCCAATTTGTCAAATCCGTTCTCTTGGGAGCAAGTTCGGTGTGCAGAGTATACTCGATGGGCACATGAAGGCTCCCTGGACAGTACCGAAGCCTTTACGTGTGCGTATTCTGACTATTTCTCGAGCAGTTCTGCTCGCAATGTTGTCTACAAAAAAAAAGGAAAAAAAGAACAAATTAATCGAACGGGTTTGTGTTGACGTTAGTTGTTAAAAAAAAAAGAAAAAACAGAAAGCGTGTGCGGCAACAGTCTGCTCTGCCCATGCTGTACGGCAACAGCATTGAGGCTGTGGCATGTTTCTGCTTCACCGGTTTCCTGTCGATCGAGGCCTTCGTCGGAAATAATCTGTAAATTTAATTTAAAACGACTTCTCGCCTGCAAGCTGCAGCCGCGTGTTTCCTGGACATTTTATTCATAGCGAATGAACCACGCAGAATCGGTGCCCATGGCACCACCTTGAATACGCTCGACAATAAAGTCACCTTATCTTACCGGTTCTAACGATGCATCTGTAATCGGTGCATCTCCCGCTTTTCTTCTTTTTTTTTTTTGGGGGGGGGGGGGGGGGGAGGGAGGCGTTTTACGCTTAGGTGGTAATTACGAAACGGCGAGTACTACGGAACCTCACCGGATCGCCGCAAACCAGACGATTCATAACTTGAACTTATGGATTTCTTTTTCCCAATAACTTTTCAGCTTTCGCTGGTCCTACAATAAAAGACCAGACAACGCGGCCAACATCGACGCGAAGATATCACCTATAACTACCCAATCTCTTCAAGTATGCCTCTCTCTTTTATAACCTAGCGCCAAAAAATGAAAGGGTCAAGGAGGTTCAAAATTGTTCGCGCATGGAGAGGTGAAGAGCGCGCTCGAAGTTGCTACATACGTGCTGTTTTGTCGCTGTGCTGTTTTGACGCCGTGCTGTTTTGGGGCGTGCTCTTTTATCGCAGTGCCGTTTTGACGCTGTGCTGTTTTGTCACCTGCTATTTTGACGCGTGCTGTTTTGTCGCCGTGCTGTTTTGACGCTGTGCTGTTTTGACGCGTGCTGTTTTGACCGTGCTGTTTTGTCGCGTGCTGTTTTGTCGTGTGCTGTTCTGTCGCGTTCCCGTACTCTCGTGTACGTCAGCGTCCGGCGATAAAAGTTTTAAGGATGTGGCTTTTCATTTTATGGAAAGGAAGCTACCAATCGAACATTCATATGGCGTGACCGACTACTAAAATGCATGCACTTATGCGGAACGGTTTAGCTCGCAACATGCAGATGTCACTTTGACGCATGTAACTGGGTGTTAAGTAGGTAATGGAATCCTTTGCATGAAATTATATACAACAGGAACGCAAATAATTTTAAGTTCTTGTATCATCCTTTAAATCATATCCAAAATATCTCAAAGAAAGTTCTCTAAAGTGATCTTGGACGGTGTGAGAAGTGCTCATGATGATAGAACCATAGCGGGAGTAAATGTTTTGTGTCTTCTGGAAGAAAATGGCAGTTAAGATACCAGAACAGTCGCGCGTTTACTATTGTACGTATCAGAAATTTGCTTGCATTAATAGGCCTCTTTCATATAATGTCTCCGTTTAACGTTGCTAAGGCCAATTTCCTTCATCGTGCCGTGTTATTAGTACGTAGTCATTATAACATATATGCCATATTGAAATCTTTCTCACGTAACATATCCTAATATTGAGGAACGTCGACATCATAAGATGAGAAGCATGTTTCCCTGTAACGTCAAGCCCGTCGATTTTGAGTGCATCTCACGTCTCTTAATGGCGCATTGGCAGGTTTCCCCTTGGCAACTTGCGCTGAGGACCTCCTTGCCCGCGTGAGTCCTACGGCACTGGTCGATGCAGCGGGAAGATGTGCATCCTGAAATGGGCGTGGCTACGTCACTCAACGCTTGAGGAGCAGTATCGAAGCGATATAAAAACAGAGGGACTGACACATCCTTTGAGGCCGCCTTTCTAAGTCAAATGGCATCGCCTCTAATTTTGGAAAGGGTCCTCTTTTCAACCAATCGGTGAGACTTAGAAAAAAAATATATCTGATGCACGAAAATATTGTTTTCTGTACAGTTCTGCGGAAGGAGTAGGGTGTCTGTAGTGATTTGCAAGCAAGATATGCCTGGTGATTATGCAGATTGATGCAGCAAATTGATGTTATTGAGGCGTAATTGTACAGCCGAATCAGAGAAATCCTAGACACCCCCTTGAAAAGTTTTGTTTCTTATACAAGTCTAGAGCAAAGGAAAACGAAGCAAATTAAAGATTTTGATCTCAGGTATTCAATTTAAGTGCTGTATTAAGCCTGCCAAAAGGAGGTTAGTCAACGGAATTATGCCTGTTAATCCTATAGTTACTGACATTAACAAAAATAAGAAAAACAAGGTATGGTGAGTTCCGAGCCTATTATTAACTTTTCGCAGCCAATGGGATTGCGACATTTGTCACTAACAAAATACGAAGAACGAACCAAGTAGCAAAAGGCGTGGCTATACTAAGTCACACCGTGCATTTTTTTAGCTATCAGTGGCGATAAATTGTTTTATGCATTCTTCCGAATTTTTTAAAGTTACGACCAACTATTTAAAGATATATTGAACATGGTATAAAAAAATGTTTAAATGCTGGCATGAAACATGTATGTAAGAAAAAGTATTTAAGTATGGAGTAAAAATCATCGCACTATCTACACGGCGAGACATATTTTGAGTTATGAACGATTCCGAAGATGTTTTCAATCTAGAGTTTCTGTACATTGAAGAGCTCACGTAGATGAAGGACCAGTGCTTGCAGAAATAACATATCATACCATAATTTAAAGCGAAATGATTTATACCTGAGTCGAAGGCTCAGGTATAACATTGTAAAACATTGACGCTATTATTTGTAATTCGTGATACGGATTTTCATGAGTCTATATGTTTTTTATGTTTGTATGTTTTATATGGTTGTAAATATTATTTGAGAAGTTATGTCTGTATTTGTTACGGTTTATGGTATATGTTTCTACATGTCCTTTTTTGTAATCAATATAGTATATAATTAACATTGTTTAAACCAATGAAATCGTAAACGCAGAAACTGGATACGTTGCTCACTTTCTCTTGAAAGACACTTGCAAGTGCCGTCTTCACAGACTGCGCTCCTGAGATTTGTGCTCGATTCTCGGCACCGAGCCAAACACACATCTGGCTTGCAGCCTGCACGGGAGCAATAAATGACAATCGGAAATTGTAGATCGCACTAAAAAGTTATAAGTGGGTACCTTCGTCAACTTCGCACTTGCAGGCGTTGTTTAGGCAGTCAGAGGAATTCAGCTTGGGCCCGAATTTCTGCCGACAAGACCGGCTGCAGAGCACCTTGTCGCAGAAAGCTGCGAGGGGGCAACATAAATAAATAACGCGGGGGTTGAATCATGGTACACACTAAAGAGCGTCTGTCAGTTCACTGTTGTCCAAAACATGGTGGTGCTTAAACGTTTATTGAACAGTGGAATGCTGGGCGGTTACTATTTATTGTGGCCCAGTGGCGATGACGTGATCGATGAGGTGGTAGAAAATGTGACTGAGGCTCGTGCTGTCTGCACGGGAGACTAAAGTCCTCACTATCACGCGCTGGAGACGCCTCCTTACTTAACCAGTGGTTCAGCTAGTCGCGTCTATCTAGCGGTGAACGTATTGGGGGCATGGAACATGGAGGCAGCGAATCAAAGCGAGCATTACAAGAGCATCGTACATAGATGAATGTGACCGTAGCTCATCAAATCGAGATATGACGATTTTCATTGGGTAGAAAACGAAGTCAAGGGGCTGGGCGAGTTTAATCGGTTACCTCTCAATTTGAGGCGCTACTGTGGCATCCCTGGAAACGCAGCCAAGAATCTCGGCCAATGGCGAGACTCGGAATAAGAATACACCGAACGCGATCTGCGCAGGAAAAGTGAGCACGAAGTTTCACTCGCCTATCGTCACAGCGCGCATCGCAATTTATTACGAGCCGTTGTCACCGCATCGCTATGGTATTCCTAGCTTTTTCATTCGCTGGGATTCTTGTGCAGTTATTCGTGATTGAATTTTTTTGTATTTTTTAGAAATATAAATGCATACCCTTTTTTAGAGTATAGTCTCGTCAAACGTTTTGCCGCGGTGAAGCGCCTTGTCATGGGGCTCCTTGTACAGGTGCCACTCGATCATTTACTACGTAGCCCAAGGCGCAAGTTTACAGACGAGCCGTTTATACTGGAAGGTTTGGGCAATCTTTTGAAGATGCCGAGGGTCTATACACAAATGCGGTGTTTACAAAAACAAGCCCGTTTGGTCCACACCAGGTGTGGGCACTGGGCGGGCGCAGAAACCAAATTCGGGAGGAGTGAAGCGTCTGAGCATGCGCAGTGCCGACAGCAGCACCACCGCAGTGGCGTAACGTCAGTGAATTCATTTGGTATATGCACCGTTTCACTTCAAGTCCGAACGCAGACGACTCTACGCGTCGGTGGAGCCAACCTAATACCGCCAAAATTACATCGTCACGGCACTCATTGTCTCTGCAGGTTTGCCATCACTCAAGAAATCAATTAACGCGGAGAAAAAAAAGCGCAGAATCACTGCGCATTCATTGTGCTCGATTTGGTTTAGTCTTCAAAATCACAGGCACACAGGCAATGACAGCCGTGACTGCGTCTTTTTGGCTCTGCTTTATTGATTTCGTGTGATCGCGGCATCGGCTGCGGTCGAACGTAAGAGTGAGACGAAGTATATAGTACCTTTGCATCGCTTATCACCCGGGCGAAAAATACTGAGTCACTGAGCTGAGGACGCCATTCGCAGCGTCTGATATACCTCACAGCAGAGCAACAGCGCATGCTCAGAAGACGTTCCACAGCCCAGCAGACCAACATGGCAGTGCCCAGAAGGCGATGTTTGCAAAGGTCTATAGATCTTTCCAAAAATCACCTTATGACGCGCTGCCATCTTTGTGTGCTGAACTGCGGAACGCCTTCTGAGCATTTGCACCGCTGTGCGTGCGTCCACAGCCCACTGACCAAGCATCTTCGAGCGGCCGATAAACGCCGGAAAGGTCTATAAAAACTTGGAAAAGCGACCAAGTGTCACACCCACCTCTCCCTTCTCCGTCGCAATCTTGGGTTATTGACAAATAAGAAGCTATAACCGTCTCTTGGTAAAATAACGCGCCTAATGTGTTATCGCGATGTTGGCCCTATCTAGCGGGTCACAATCTCTGCCCATTCGCCAAATTGTCTCAGCTTAAACGGCTCTGGTTTACAGTTGCCGAAGCATCCGTGAGAAACGCCATGCGTTTTTCAGAGGTTGCGAACGAATACATTGCGACAGCAATAATGTTTCTTGGGTAAGCATATCTGCACTTCCCAGGTTTCCAGAGAAGTTTGAATATGATAAAAAACGACTCAGTACGGCTCTAGGTAGCCTGCCGTAAAGCTCCTAGGCGCTTTATAGGTTTATTGATCGTGCTCGTGTTGCACAACGAGACACAGTTTAAGCTCCTGACGTTTTTTTGTTTTTTTTTAGTTGTCGGATATTGGTGGTTTTCTGTAATTTGATAGCACGAAGAAGCGACACGAAAGCCCGTAAATTCTTTTGCGTGTTTCCACGTAAAAACCAATACGCAAGCACATAACTACTTGTATTAATAATGTAATAACTGGGCTAAAGGCGTACGCCCTCGTGCTAGGTGGGAACAAAAAATTCGGAAGTTTCGCTTACCAAATCGGAGTGGAGTCTGTTGAGTTCCTGAAGAAAAAAAAAAAGTGAACAGTATTCACATAATGCCAAGGATTACATAAGTAAAATATAATATAAATGTTTCGTTTGTTTATGCCTTTGATTACATCAGTTTTATACGTGTTATGTTGGCTAGACCCATTCGCTATACAGTAGTGTTCTAAATACGAGACAAATGGCATATTTACTAAAATTCTACGTTATACGTTTTATTTCGAGCAGTCGTCAATATGTCCCACTTGCATGTCGTTGGGGAGAGGTATATCTTGTAATCTACAGAAATTTGTAACGCAGAATACGTTGTCGGGCTTAGGGTTTCCAGTGACACACCGAAGTGCAACGACAAAACTCACGGTCATCACCACAAGCGACCTTAAAGCTTTCTCCCCAAGCAACCTTGGCCGTTGACGACGCTAGTGATACTCTTCGTGAGTAATGTCATTGCGACCTCTCAGTGGTAATGCTACTCATACTGGCTTGTCAGACATGACAGTGCCGTGCCGCATCTTGGTCGCATTAAAGGAGCCCGTAATGGACGGTATATGCAAAAACATGCCTGGTGCATAATGTGTAACATACAGCGGGACTGAGGCCTAGCTCCTCCGCAGACCAAGAGCGTGTGCACCACTGGATTTGTTGGTGCAGCCAAGCAGCAGCAGTCCCGACATATCTAAACAACAAGTCTCACAATAAGTTTAACCTGCAATACGTTCTTGATCTTGCAGTACAAGTTTCGAGAGACACGCGGAAGTGTAACGTCATAACGCGCGTTCACTGCCGCAAGCGACCTTTGACCTTTGACACCCAGTAACCCTTTCATTTGTTTTTTTCACCCCAAAGACGCAAATTTTTATGAATTTAAAACGGGTGTCAACATAGCAAGTAACACCCAAAGCGAAATCCCGTAGTGGAGAATATACGGAAAGATGTCTAGAACATGATATGTTATGTACAGCGAGATGCATCGCCTACAAAAAAGTACGTATTCAACCTATTATGGAAAGTGTCGGTATGCAGTAGCTTCAGTTTCTGAGACATCCCTAATTATTGTTCTGTGGCTTGTTAGATGAGTAAGACCCGAATGTAGATGTTATAAGGAAATAGTGCTTACGTCTTAAAGTTTTTTTTTTTTTTTTTTTTTTTTTCACTGTGCGTTGTCTAGTTGTAATGGCAGTAGCATATTGTAGTAAAAATGGCTCGAGCACACGGCGAATAATTTTTAGTTTTGTCACTGCCGTCTAGAACTCTTTGTCATAGCCAATGCCGGTTTTATTCATGATTACTCCGCATCTATAGACATTTCCCGCTTGTTCACCTATACTTTCTCCACTGATTTATAAGAATATGTTTGTCCTGTGACGGCTTTTTCTTCCTTTTCTCCTGACTACGCACACCAATTTGTAACCTACTCGATTTGTGTCTTAGTGCTTAGAAACAAATAAAAGAAATAAAAAGTGAACCTGACAGCGTAATATAGATCAATGAAATGACCAGATACATTTATTGGACCCCAACTTACATTTTATAAAAATGACTAGGTTTAAGCGGGAATGAAGGATTGTTGAAAATATTCACGAGGGAGAGTGCACGCAAGTAACACATTGGCTAAGGTTGTGTGGTACTTAATACTGTTTCTATCGAATCAACAGAACCAAAATTTAATATCCACAACAGCACTTTATCTACAGTGTGGAACGCTTAATATATTTTATTATATTGTCATTGCAGATATCTTGGCCTTATTTCAGTTTGCTTGGCGTACGGTCTTACGTCGGTATTTTTAATGAAATGGGCAAAATTTGTTAAGCATGGATGCAGGAATGCTCATAAGTTGAGCTCAAACCACTGATGTCTGCCGGTACTGGTGATCTTGACATAAATATTATCCGGACGTAAAGCCATTGAAAGCATCGTAAAAAATATCAAGTGACCTAGATGCAGGGGGAGGGGGATTGCGAGGCTTGACGAAGCATCTAATCCATGATGAGTTCAATTCTCACAGTTCCGATTCTAAAATATCTTCTGATATGACTGTTTAACAGTACCTTGAAACAACTGAGAGGGTAAAACTATTATTGATTATCTAGTGACGTGAGATTTTTTTTGTTAGTGGTAGGGTCAATTTGTGAGTCACTGGAACGGGTACGGGGCAGGAATTTATAAATTTATTTATTCAATTTTTTTGTAGATAACAACCACTACCTGAGACTTGGTCAGAAACCATTACATTTGCGTTTCCGATGGGAAAGGAAGCATACATTCGTAACCTTATCTTTCAGAGTAACCTAGGAATTTGGGTATTTACATTTTTGTTTGTTATAGCAGCATTGGAACCTGTAAATACTAGTAATACGGAGGGACCACCATAAATTACATTCTCATATAGATTATTCATTACAGTGAAGATAACATATAAGTTTGGATGTAACAATTGTGAATTATTGAATGTAAAAAAAGAAAAAAACCTTCACCGGTTGCCCATAATCCTAATTAACTTTTTTCTTAGTAAAAGTGTTTTTTTGTTTCGTACCCTGAGTTTCAGTTCTTGGAATTGTGATTGACCTGACCGTTGGTGGCAATGTTGCCCTTGTTGTGGGCAGCTTTTGTGTCCCTGAAAGAAAGGAAAAAACATTTATTCCTAATGACCAAACATCCCTCCACGTACTCATGCTTAGCCTCCTAAGCTTGACTATCAAAGCTGTTATATACAGTTATATTATGAAGATAAGATTAAAACCAGGTACAGTCTATTATTTGTGTCACCGTTCGTTAAACCGCAGCGGACAAAATTCTTTTCTAGCAGTAAAAGTAATGTTTGTGAAATTATTTATTGACATTTGTTTCAATATGGCTAAAATATAACGTTGGTGCAGATACTTTCAAAGTGTGTCTGGCTACGGTTAGACTTACTAAAATTATTACTAAGGTATGTTGAAGTTATCCTGCAGAAGCAAAGCCTTTTAGCGCTACGCCGGCTGCTAGTCTGGACTTATTTGCAGTCATTTTGAGTTCCTTTCTCCGCATTTGCTACTTCAGAGCTATGCCTGCACTGTGGATAATTTAAAACTATATATTTATTTACTATGATTATTTAAAATTTTTTGAAACAAAATAGTAGAAAGGCTGTGCCTAATCATAACTACAACGAAACTGAAAACCGTATTTGCGGGAAATATTAAGTTCTCTAGTTGTTTACTTAGAAATAGCGAAAACTGAATACTTTGAGATTTGGGCGATCGTCACATTTGGGTGTTTCGCCAGACTCAAATACCTATTGCATAGGAAGAAAACTTTGTGCTTGATATTTTAATCTACAATAATGTTACAACACAATGAATAAAGAGAGACTACTATAATTTACATTCTCAAATAGATTATTCATTACATCCAAGATAAAACGTATGCTTGGATGTAACGATTGTGAACTGTTGAATGCAAAACGAAATAAACGCAAAACTGTTTTTTGTTCCGTACCCTGAGTTTGTGTTCTCGGGATTGTGATTGCCTTGATTGTTGGCGGCAATGTTGCCCTTGTTGTGGGAAGCTTTTGTGTCCCTGAAAGAAAAGAAAAACATTTAATTTTAATGACCAAACATCCTTTCACATACTCATGCTTAGCATTCGTAGCATTACTATGAAAGCTGTTATATACAGTTATCTTATGAAAGTAAAATTAAAACCAGATAAAATCTAACTTTTGAACACGCGTTCGTTGAACGGTAGTCGACAAAAGTGTTTCAAGCGGCAAAAAGAAACGTTTGTAAAAACGTTTCTTTACACTTACATTGAATATGTCTAAGGTGTGTCTTGCTATAGTTATGGATACTAAAATTGCTAGTAAGGCATATTTAGGTTGCCCTGTAGAAGTAAAGCCTCTTTTACTACGCCAGCTGCTAGTCTGGGGCTTGTTTTTCTGTCATTCTGAGTTCTTTTCGCGAGCATTTGCTACTTCAGAGCTATGTCTGCACTGTGGATAATGTACCTTCCGACCTCTGTAGCCCTAAAGAGCATTCTGTTACAAGACTCCAGCCACTATACCAGTCAGATGAACTTTTGATCACCTCATAACATTGTGATGCCTTGGTTATTTTTGTACAATTCTGTGTAGGATTTTACTGATTTATTAACCATGGTCCTTTCTATGTGAACACAACGGAAGACTCTCGTGCTTGTTTTTGGGCATGAAAAAATAGATACAAATATTATTATTAAACAATTATGAATATTAAACGTGAGACAACACGCAAAGACAAACTGGTAAAAACTTATCTAGTACAAGCTTGAAGAATATGGAAACACCTCTACAAATATACACAGTCACTCCAAGCCGAAGTTGAAAAAATTACGAGTTGGAAAAAATCAAGTAAATAAGGTTTATACGATATAAATCAAATTTTTCGATTGCTGTAGCTAAAAAATAGTGTATTTTTACCACTAGATGTATCTTTAAACAAGGTAGATTTATTGATTAATCCGGCAGATCACTAATAATTATGCTGAAGCAAGCATTACTATAAATGTACAGTTCGATAAACACATTTCTATCGATGTAATCCCAGCCATACTTCAGCAAGAAGAGCTTAATTATTTTAGTTAGGGTAAAAAATTGTTTTATTTCTTTTTTGCTTCTGATTTAGGATTTTTTTTAACATGTCAGATTATTTGATATCTTTGTTTGATCAGCAATATAATTGCTAAAAAAGGAATGAGTGTAAATGTACAGTTTAATAAACAACTTGTTATAGCTGTAATCCTCACCCTACTAGCACAAGACAACTTAACGTTCCCAGTTAATTAAAAATATTTTTTATGGAATTAAAAGATTAAGGGGAAGATTTTCTAGTTTTCCTTTGTTTTTTATGCTTTTTGAATTTTGTTGCAACAGGATGTTAGGTAGCTCACGATCAAAGTCGAAGGTAGAAATTAAGCACAATGCTCGGAGTTCCTCAGAAGAGCACTTCATTTTGCTTGTGCTCAGCCTTATTTAGAGCTTTCTTGCTTGATAACGTTTTTCATTTAAAGTAAAAACAAATTCAAATAGAAAGCATTAAATAATAGACAAACGCAAAATGAAAATTATTTTTGCGGGAATGGTTTGATTTATATTATTTTAGTAAAACCAATATGATTTAAATCGCAATTTAAAATATGTTTTCTCCATCCTGCTCAGCACTATGATATGACTTATATTATGAAGTCACATTTATAATGCGTGCATACGTGCGAAAACTTGGTTGGTTGTCAAAGGGTGGAGTGCCTTGTTTCAATGACAGGAGGTAACCAAGAGACCTAAAACCTATATAGCTAAATACACTAAATACAATTTTACATCGAATATTTGCTTCGAGGTTTGAATGAAAGCAAAATTTAGAATTCCAGAATGTGTGATGTTCAGGCAGGAACAGACAGGTGCTCGAAAATGAGCCCAACGTCAACTAGAAACACAAACAATAAAAACGTTTTTTAAAAGGTCCGTTTTATTTTTTACTTTAAATAATATCAGGGCAAGGGTGTTGTGATTAAAAATCTTTATTTCAAACTGATGGCGTAATTCATTTTGCATGTGCTCAGCCTTATAAAAATGTGTTCGGTATTGGTTGATAATTTTTACAACTTAATTGCCAAAAAATTCAGGTAAAAAGCATCAAATTATAGACAAACGCTAAAGAAAACAATATTTTCGGGTTTATTTTTGCGGTAACGGTTTGTGTTATATCATCCTAGTAAAACTGGTATGATTTAAATTACAATTAAAATCATGATTTAAATTTCTAAATCTTCTCCATCCTGCTCAGCGCTATGGTATAACTTAAATTATGAAGTCAAATTTATAATGCCTGCATGCATACAAAAAATAGTTGGGTGACTAAGGGTGAAGGGCCTCGTTTTTAAGGCGAAGGGGTATCAACCGACCTAAAGTCTATATGGTTAAAAAAAATACACATACTTTAGATCGAATATTTTCTCCGTGGTTTAAGTGAAAGCACGTTTTTGAATTCCAGAATGTGTGATGGGGAGGCAGGAGCTGATTGGTGCTCAAAAATAAGCTCAGCGTGAACTGGCAAAAAAAAAAGTTTGTATTGTTCTGCCCGTATATTTTTTTTTTACTTTATATAACATCAGGGCAGGGGTGTTGTGATTAAAAACTTCATTATCAAACTGATTGCTGCTCAATTTTCAGAGGTAGAGAAGATAGCGATTCAATTCCCTTTCTTTTCAAAGCACGTCACACGATGCAATTTGGAGACATAATATAAATGCTTTGCACCAATAAGTTTAAACAATAATTAAACAGAACCTTAATGGAAGCCTAAAAACAGAGAAATGTTTACTTTCAATTTAAGACTAACAATTTCCTTTCAAGCTCTTTGCAACCTTAAATACCAGAGGAATAAGACACGTTTGGGTGAGCACTTTTCAAATCGTACAAGCAAAACTATGATTATTTAAAATTTTTTGAAACAAAATGCTAGAAAGGCTGTGCCTATTCATAACTACAACGAAACTGAAAACCGTATTTGCGGAAAATATTAAGTACTCTAGTTGTTTACTTAGAAATAGCGAAAACTGAATACTTTATTTGGGCGATCGTCACATTTGGGTGTTTCGCCAGACAAACTTTGTGCTTGATATTTGAAACTACAATATTATTACAATACAATGAATACAGAGAGACTACTATAATTTACATTCTTGAATAGATTATTCATTACATTCAAGACAAAACGTATGTTTGGATGTAACGATTGTGAACTGTTGAGTGCAAAACGAAATAAACGTAAAAGTGTTTTTTGTACCGTACCCTGAGTTCGTGTTCTTGGGATTGTGATTGACTTGATTGTTGGCGGCAATGTTGCCCTTGTTGTGGGAAGCGTTTGTGTCCCTGAAAGAAAAGAAAAACATTTATTCTTAATGACCAAACATACTTTCATATGCTCATGCTTAGCATTCGAAGCATTACTATGAAAGCTGTTATATACAGTTATTTTATGAAAGTAACATTAAAACCAGGTAAAATCTAACTTTTGAACACACGTTCGTTGAACGGTAGTGGACTCAAGTGTTTCAAGCGGCAAAAAGAAACGTTTGTAAAAATGTTTCTTTTCACTTACATTGAATATGGCTAAGGTGTGTTTTGCTATAGTTATACTTACTAAAATTGCTAGTAAGGCATATTTAGGTTGCCCTGTATAAGTAAAGCCTCTTTTACTACGCCGGCTGCTAGTCTGGGGCCTGTTTTTCTGTCATTCTGAGCTCCTTTCGCGAGCATTTGCTACTTCAGAGCTATGTCTGCACTGTGGATAATGTAAACCTATATATTTATTTACTCAACACTTCCGACCTCTGTAGCCCTAAAGAGCATTCTGTTACAAGACTCCAGCCACTATACCAGTCAGATGAACTTTTGATCACCTCATAACATTGTGATGCCTTGGTTATTTTTGTACAATTCTGTGTAGGATTTTAGTGATTTATTAACCATGGTCCTTTCTATGTGAACACAACGGAAGACTGCGGTGCTTGCTTCTGGCCGTGAAAAAATAAAGATTATGATTAAACCATTTTTAATATTAAACGTGCGACAACACACAAAGGCAAATTGGTAAAACTTTGTCTAGTACAAGGCTTAAAGCATATGGAAACACCGCTACAAATCTACTCAAATTACTCAACGTCAAAGTTGAAAATAAAGACAATTATAAAAATGAAGTATATCACATTTATTTGACTTACATCAGATTGATTCCATTACTGTAGCTATAAAATAGTGACTTTTACTATTAGATGCATTTTTCATCCGGGCAGATTAATTAATTAATTCGTCCGATCAACAGTAACAATGCGAAAGAAAGAATTACTGTAAATGTACCTTTTAGTAATCACATTTATATTCACGTAATCCCGGCATACTTGAACAAAAACCGCTTGATTTTATAGATAGTTAAAAAAAAGTTTAGGTATGATTTTATTGAAATAGTTTCTATTTTAGACATGGCAAATAAATTTTTAAATTCGTCCGATCACTGATAAAAAGGCGAAAAAAAAATGGGTGTAAATGTACAATTTGATAAACAAGTTTTGTATTGCTGTAATCCTCGCCATACTAGCACAACACAGCTTGACATTTTATAGTTAGTTAAAAAAGCTTTATTGGATTTTTTTAGTTCTGACTTGATTGCAGTAGGATATTACTTCTCTCGTTTCCTCTCTTTTTGGTGTGTTTTGACTGTTTGTTGCAATAGGACGTTACGTAACCGACGCAAAAAGTGGACGGTAGAAATCAAGCTCATCGTTCAGATTTGTTCAGAGGAGGAATTCTTTTTGCTTCTGCTGAGCCTTATGTAAAGATTTCTTGCTTGATGTTATTTTTTCTGTTTAAATATAAAACAAATTTAGATAGGCATCAAATCATGAACAAACGCAAAGGGAAGGAATATTTTTACGGGAATGGTTTGAATTATATCATCCTAGTAAAACTGATATGTCTGAAATCGCAATTTAAATCGCGATTTAAATCATAGCTTAAATTATATCAATATTTTTCTCTGTCCTGCACAGCGGTATGGTGTAACATAAAGCGTGAAGTCAAATTTATGATGCATGCAAGTGTGCGAAAATTTGGTTGGGTAACTAAGGGTGGAGGGCCGTGTTTCAGGCCGAGGAGGTAACCAAACGACCTAAAACCTGTATAGTTCAATAAACTACATACAATTTTAAACCAAATATTTCATCTGAGTCTTGAGTGAGAGCACATTTCTGAATTCCAGAATGAGTGGGGCAGGAGCTGTTTGGTGCTCTAAAATGAGCCCAACGTGAACTAGAAAATAAAATAAAAATTCTGTTTTGTTCTGCCCATTTTTTTTTTACTTTACATAATGTCAGGACAGGGGTATTGTGATTAAAAACCTCAATATCAAACTGATTGCTGCTCAATTTTCAGGGGCAGGAAACGTAGTGGTTCAATCCCTTTCTTTTTAAAACACCGCGCACGATGCAATTTAGATGCATGATATAAACGCTTTGCACTTATAAATTTAAACAGAATCTTCGTGGAAGCCTAAGAAAGCAGCGAAATGGCCACTGCCAATCTAAGACTTACATGTTCGTTTCAAAGTCTTGTTACCTTCAAATACCGGAGGAATAAGACACGTTTGGGCGAGTTCTTTTCAAATCGTTTAAGAAGCGTGTTGATTATTCAAACTCTTCTGAAACAAAATATCATGAAGGCGGTGCCCATTCCTAACTAGAACGAAACTGAAAACCGTATTTGCGGCAAATATTTAGTTCTCTAGTTTTTTTACTGAGAAATAGCGAAAACGGAATGTTTTGAGATTTGTGCGATCGTCACAGGTCACTTGAGTGTTTCGCCAGACTCAAATACCTATTGCATGAGAAGAAGACTTCGTACTTGATATTTCAAGATACAACAGAAGTATAAAATGACCGCCGTATCGTGTTTCTTGTTTTTAATTATTTTAATTAAAATAAGAGCTTGTCCCTTTTAACAATAATTCAACATAGTTTCATGATAATGAACATTCTTATAATCAAAGTTATGGCATAGAATATGTATCGAATAAAAGCTCAAACATACTCGGGTGTTTCACGAAAGGTGGACAAATTCGATGTCGCAAAAACGACGCGTCGCAACAAAAAAGGCATATGTCGTTTTGTACTGGGCCAGGGGCCTATTTAGGAAAATTATTAAAGTCCGGAAAATTAGATTTTAATTATTTTTGCGTAATTAACTTTTTTAATATTGCGTTTAAGGGCATGGTTTCAATGAGAAAATTGCTCAGCATCTTTGAAAAAACACTAAATCAAGGAATTGCAGAACGATAGAAGGCACGAGAAGTGTTTTACGGCTTTCTGAAAAATTGCACAAATTCGACGGGTTTTTAAGTTTCGGTTTGCTATCGGAGCGCATCTTGGCCCCAACGGCACCGCGCCCCGTGGAGAAATAGTGCAACCAGCCTCTGCTGCGTTGCGCGAGGACAGCGCAGCAGAAGTTGGTTGCACTCTTTTTTTCACGGGGCGCGGTGAAGATGGGGCCGCGATGCGGCGCCTTCGGCACCGCGCCCCGTATATATACTTGAAATATGCCCCGTATATATGCTTGAAAGACGTTATTATTTGTAACTGCAAAACTGTGTCGTGGATATTTTTTGCCTAATCAATAATCACTTTTCGTCATTTTTTCAGGGTATTCGTCGCCATCGGTTTAGAGCACTTAAATTAAAACTGTAGGTACGTTATCTTTGTTAACTTTACAAATAAGATAAGCCGCAATACGATAAATTCCTTAAATTATCTTGTAAAAAAAATCTTCAAATCTAAAAGAGAGCTAGATTCCGAACGCAGGCCATTGTAAATAATAAAAAAAACAAAAACTGGAGTAAAAAATAAAATAAAAAGGCTGTTCCACGTACTTTGTGTAATCGAGCCTGATGTAGAGGAGGGTCTAGTTGGAAATCTTCTTTCTGTTGTTGTTCTCTGTGGTTCCCGAGATCCTGAAATTAAAGCAATAATTCCAACAGAATTAGTATACGAGGTTTAACTGCTCCTGTTTCTGCAGCAACAACCTATAAATGTCCAGTTGTCGAAACTTTACTTGGTCTATTCACTTTTGTATCTGCTTCGTTTGCACTTTGTAGAAAGCCTGAAACCCGCAGTTTTGCCTAATGAAACGCTTTTTAGGCTCGTGCACGAGTCGTGCGACTGTATCTTTAGGAGTTTCTATATACCGCTTTCAATTCGCATAGATTTCGGAGCAAGCTGGTATACTCGTCTATGATCTACAATGCTATTTAAAGTACTTAATTCTCGATGAATAATCTCACTTCACCTGACCACGCATTGCAATGGAAGGCTATTCGAGATTTTAATCACGCTAAAAATCAAAATGCAAGCATAAAAAAATGCCACGAAGTACCAGTGGGAGTTGCCCAGTCTTAATATATGAAATTATCTTTACTAATAATTAATGTGTGTAAAACGTAGTCATTTACTTGTTACTTGACATATTCTGAGAACGTTACTTTGCACAGATACTTCTCAGAAAAAAAAGTTAAATTAAAAGAACTTTTTTTTAGATACAGGTTTGCCAAAATAAAATGACGAGCTGGCTTCAAGGTCGACCTACAGAATCGTCTTTTGCCGGGAAGAAAACCTGAACTCAGATTCCTTCTCTCCAATTCCTATCGCGCTCTTCTTCCCTCCTCTCCCTACAGGAGGGGTTCTCTGAGCTACACCCCACAGAAAGGAGAAGGGTCTCTTGCTTTCACGAATAGAAAGGAGGAATTGAGGGAGAGTTTTCTTCTTTCTGGTTACTCTTCGGATTTTAGATCTCAGGCGCGTGTTTGCTTGACTCGGAACGTGGCAAAACAAAACAGTAATGTAAAGGAGGTATTCCTTCTGAAAGTAAATACCTAAAATTATACATTGACAGAGCAACACATTAGATATATGATGAATACAATGAACAGCAACAACAAAACAACAACATATTAGAGACACAATGTAAACGAGGACCCTAACTCTCTGGTTTCAGAAATGGACTGGAATACTATTTACGTTTTCTCCCAGGCTGCCATCATTATTGAGGTGGCTCTAAAATTAACAATGAAGGCGAAAATGAAGATGATATATCTCAATTCGATTGCGTGCGATACTGCAAAATGCACAGGCGTGAGCTCGCACGTTTGGCCAACATTTTGGCGGCGCGGGTGCTTGTGCACTTCAAAAGTTTTAGAAGTTTATAGGCTTGTGTCTATTCTTTTCCCGGAACAATGTCTTCCTTCTCAGGTGAGGTACTGATGAAAATGCGCGAATAAATGTGCAGTACGAAGTTTCACATACATATGTTAAGCGCGATCCAACTGGAAAGAACGAGAGGTACCGTATTTGCTCGAGTAATAGCGGCGCTTCTTACGAACGATGTCCTTACGTCTACTTTCCTGCAGAGCACACCTACAGCGAAGCATCGCGTTCTGCATAGAAAACGCAGCGATCAACAAGGTCGAGGACGCGATTCCCCGTAAAGATGCGATATAAGCAGATAGCAATTTCACGTGAACTCGCTATCTCTGTCCCGCAAATCGCTGCCATTTTTTTGCCGATGGCGGTGGTTCGCTATGGCCGTGCTTCGCGGGAAAGCAGACACACAGGCCTTGTTCATAAGAAGTGCGGCGACTACACAAGCAAATACAATATACTGCAGGCTGCTGCCCCTCAACTCGGATACACGTCGTCTAATGGTGCGGGTGTACAAAGATGTAAAAGTGCTCAATACTAAACTTGGCGCTTTCAATGAAATTCAGTTTCTGTACAGTGTAGCACGGGTTCATGGAATATGCAGGTAGTGAGCAGTGAATTCATTGACATATTTAATGAAATAATTGGAGCGAGCACTGAACCGCTCATCCTTGCCGACTTCTGCTTTCAGAGCAAAAACACTATAGCGTAAGAATGGTCCACAAAAAGGCAGGAGGTATATTCTTAGAAACCCGATACCAGCTAAGACAGCAACAAAAAGTAGTCTAGGAATACATTGCCTATTACCCTTGTCTTCTGCGTTCTTATTTGAACGCGATAGCAGCAAGGAGCTCGTGTCGAAAAAAAAAACGGTGGCCTGGCAGAAAAGCCGGCGTCGCTGCCGTGCCGCGAAAATCCTGGTTGCTCGATAGGCTCATAACGTCACAGCCACATAACCTCACACGGGAATTTCGAACAACCCAAAACGCTCACGTTGAACGTGCTGTCACGCGCGGAATGAAAGTGATTAAAAAAACATGACATGTAATGCAAATTAAAAGTCGCTCCATGTATCAAACTTCACTCCATGAAGTAATTCATTTGCCTTAAAAAATAATGATTTTAGGCGAAGTTCGAGCCCACGACCCCTCGGTTGCGAGCCAGAGACGCTACTTACTATGCCACGCAAGATACTCGTTTTTGTGTGTGTGTGTGTGTGCGTGTGTGTGTGCGTGTGCGTGTGTGTGTGCGTGTGTGCGTGTGTGCGTGTGTGCGTGCGTGTGTGTGTGTGTGTGTAAAACACGAACATGTCAAGTCATTTTAAAAACTCTCTAGGAAGTTTGCAGAACATGTTAACACTCTATATATAGCAGACTCTGACAAATGCCTAGCCCTTCGGGCTTCGGCTCACAATTAGCAAATACGGTTTATATTCTTTTTACAAAATTGTAGAAATAAAACCGCATTTTTTCTTTCGCATTGTATGGCGCTCGCGCATGACCTGGGAGCCATGCGCGAGCGTCATACCTTACACAAACCCCAAAGAAAACAAAAAAGACGTCTAAAATTCGAGGTCATCACTAGTAACGTCGAGGAACCGGATGCGAGTCGGATTAATACTTGATTCCTTTTTTAATGTTCGCTAAACACCCCCCCCCCCCCTTTTTTTAAAAAAAAAAACAAAAAAACAAGAGCACCAACAACAACAGCGCTTTAACAGAAAATAATAATAAAAAAACATGCTCTATAGTTCCGGGTTATTTACACTAAATGCAGTCAACAGACCATGGCACATCCATTCCCTTTTCTTTAAGAAAAACCTTGACACGCAAAGTGTTTGTATGCAACTTACAAAAATAAAGTTTTGACTGAGACCACACATGCGCTTGACTTGTTTCAGCATATCTTGTCCTCTGTCAGAAACGACAGTTCGATACAGAGGTGCTGGAAATAAACTGAACTGCAGATCGCGTCTGGGCTTTTGCTTACTCACTACAGAAAGATAACCGAAAGAAAAACGGGCTGACAAAGTAAGAACCGTGTCTACACCCTCTTTATGAAAACCAACAGGTCTTGTTGGTTCGCCGCCACATGACGAGACAAGAAAAAGACAAAAAAAAAAAGGAAAATGGTGTGCCAGTTTAGTCTGAAAGAGAGTAAGGATGAAAGGGTGCTCTTGATCTCGTAAAAAGAAGTATCTCGACACCAACAGCCGAACGAACAAAATCGTGAGACCCAGGCTACCGTCGCGTACTCGATGAAACAGGTTTTCTCGCCTCATCGGCTCCCTAGTCGAGCTCCAAATAAACTTCGCAAATATGCGGTGGAACTTCTGCACACTAACATGCGCACAATAAATCGCCTGCTAAACATACCCCAAGTTTGCGACGAGCAAAATGTTACAAACCGTCGCTCTGGCAAAATGAATAGGGCGCGCCTTATCCAGCGAGAAGCGCGCCTGTCTAGGTCGGTGGTGACTCCCGACCAGTATCGTTTATTTTCTCTATAACAGTTGAGTGGGACGCCGATGTACAGCGTACGCGACTCTAGCACACGTCTTTGAAACATTAAAGGCGTTGAAGCCTCGCGAGGCACGCTTGCACGGCTTGGGAACTAGTGCGGGTTTATATGTTTATATGTTTAGCTATCGCGTTCAAGCTGAAGCGTCCTCGAATGTTTTCTAATAAATTTATTCCTTCAAATTTTTTTTGACGGTTCCATCATTCAAGTAAGCTCGCAAAAATTTTCGCATCACCGAAACATCACGTTTTCTTTATGTCGACCTGTGCTACATATCGGGGAACTGTAGAGCAACTGAATTTCCCTGAAAGTGCTAAGGTTAGCATTGGACCCAATTCTACAAGATATTTTTAAGTATTATATTATAAATTTTTTGTTTAGCGGGGCGAACTGATTCTATTAATCTCATTACGCTTATATTTTCACCCAAGTAACGAAACGTTGGAGTAATGCGGTAAATTATGTTGTAATTGCATTGCATTACAACTTACTGACACGGAAATGCAACATGGCGTACGATATTGTTGCGTCGCGTTCACGTCAGCAGGTGCCTCATTAGGATGTCGGGCTGTTTGTGTCACGGATATCGTTCATCTGGGAGCAGCGTTTGTGACAATTTTTAAAAATAGTTTTCAATGCGTGGGCGTTTGTGTTTTTGGCTTGTTATTGTTCAATGGCCCTATGACTTCTGCTTTAGCATTATTCTGTTTTCTTTTTAATCATATATCATGATAAACATTTACCGTAAGATTTTCTAAAGAGAGGAATTTTTATTGGTTTTTTAAGCAATGAAAATATAAATAATGTACATGAATATTAGGTTACAATATTAAAAAGACGAATAGCTCGACCGATGAAAAAGAAAACGCGTGAACAGGACGAGTGGTAGCGCTTGTCTTGTCTGCTTCTACTCATCCTCGTCCGTAACGCTATTTATCGTTTTCATCTTTACCCATATAGCCCAAAAGTTAACTTTGGTCAGCTTAAAATTCAAGTCTTTTGCCACATAATTTTGTAAGTAACGAAATGCTGCATACAGCCAGTTTTTATATACAGGATTTGAATTAGACTTTAGAACATAGTAATTAAAATGTACACGATGTTTTGGAGGCCCTAGATACGAGTATAAAGAGTTGAGGATTCTGGTTCCACTTTACGAGTCTTAATATAAAGCACCTTTCTATTTAGTTAGTAAATATATGTGAAATGCAGTTTTTTGTATTATTTGTTTGTTTCTTGCGAGGTTTTGCTGATTAATTATCTTTGATGTTTCAGAAAATTGCCGCAACTTGGTTCTGTAGGCATAATCCAAAGACTCAGCTCAAAGTAACACAATGATTAGGACTTCCTTAACTTTTTGGACAGTCCACAAAACGAGAAGCGCATTGCACTTCCATAAAACGGCGAACGAGGCTAGAGAGTCAACGTCTCATATCCCACCGCACCTTGATTAGTTGACGCAATCCTGGTGAAGCTGAGTCCCAATGCTGGCGCTGACTCTGTACCTATGCGGGTTGTCCTTTCTCCTGTAAAAAATATGTAAACGTCATATGTATCCCAGTTGGCGAACGGCTATTGAAAATTAGACTTTTTAATTTTAAATTATCAAAGCTAATAAGTTTACCTTCACTTTAGTTTAATGTTTTATATCCTTTCTCCTTCGAACAATTAAAATATGAGCTTAAACATTACAAAATCTCCAGAAAGCATTGAACATCGAGCAGCGTGAAGTGCGACTCGGGAAATATCCTGGTTAAAAAAAATACATAAAGCGCTCTGTGATTAGTGTATGAGTTAATAGTACCAAATTGAACTGCACAACGTTCGCTTTCCTACCTTGAGTGTTTCGAGTCGCCACTGTGGTCGACCGGGCTGCAGGTGTCGCAGTTGCTCTTGTGGGTGCGGGTGGCCTTTGACTGGCTACTGGAAATCAAAGTTTGGTCGAGATAAAGAAGTAAAGTTCTTTTTCAGGAAACCCTAATAACGAGTATCCTGTTTCCGTTTTTAGTGTACATTTCAGGTTTGTATTTCTGCGTGATATATTTTGGAGCACTAACGGGTTCCAATTGAGTGAATTATAATAGATGTCATATTATTTTTCATATTATTGAAGGTTAAGAAAACTGTAATTAGTCAATAGATCCTTGTTCACGTAACTTGCAGACTCACTAGTAAAGGTTAAGTTATTAAGAGAGCCACATAAATGAGCACGCAAGATCTCATTATCGGTGTTCATGAAGAATATTTTTCAGATAATTCACGGAATAGAAAAGCTCAGATTTATAATGTACACCCATGTTCAAAGTTAAAACCTACATTTTAGTTGTAATTCGGTTTAACGTAGAGCAAGCATGGCTTAGAGCCCTCCTGTAGAGACTGGCATAAGTAATGCGCTGTGACGCGCGAAGCGCTACTACTGGCAGCTGGATAAAAACCCGTAAAGCAAATGTATCTGGCTTTAATCGATAAATGCCCCGTCAATCCTTACTAATGCATTTTTTTCTGATATATATAACATGGTCAAGAAAGCATTAAGCAATTACCAATACGGATTATAATATTTTTAGAGGTATGGGAAAAAAGAAAGACAACAAATTTTACAATCTTGGGAACATTCGGGAGTGATATGCTTTCTTATATCCCAAGAAAGCTGCAATGATATCTACTTTTATTGCAACGACCCGAGCCTAGGCTACCATGTGGACATTTTATTTTAAACAATGCAAGTTTGAAAAGTAGATTAAACTTTCACTAATTTTTCGTTATACTATATTCCCGACTGTACTCCATAGAAGCCTTGGCTTCTGCGTATTAACGTGAAAGAACCAAAATGTGAAACGAAATTTCACAATGAAAACGGTGATAAGAAATATTATTATACAACAAGAAGAAGCTGAAATACACAAGTCGGGTCTGAGGTTGTTCAAAATTTGAAATTTGTAACCTTAGTACTACATAACACCACTTAATAATATATTTATTACGAGTACATTCTATGGCTTCTCGGAGCAATCGCTCTCCTTCATGTATGTGATCCTACTGGTTACACATATCCCATTGAACTCTGAATCTCGCGATACTGTTTATATATTATGAAAGAAATGCGTAATAAAGGATACCAAGACAGAAAACCTTAAACCTCCAATGTAGCACCTCCTGATAAATGGAATGTTGCCAGAAGAAAAGAGTGCGAAATATCAAATATATATTATCACGTTTTATCTAGCTTAGGTCTCTACAGCTTTATACCTGGCGGAGCTCGACTTTGAAATGCGGTTGGTCTCGCAGGTGACGTCCTTCCGGTTGAGACAACAGGCTGCCTTGGAGTTCCTGAAAGCACGATAAATTTGAGTATTGAATGTTCCTGGGATGCTATTACGAACAAACAAAAAGGGTATTGATATTTTACAATCACAGCGACTAGAACGATGCATTTTGTAAAAAAAATATTTATAGATAAACTGACGACAGCTTTAGTGCTTGGGCGGGTTCTAATTCAGAAAGTCTCGAGAACATAGATGTACACTGAAGAAATTGAGGTAAATTCTTTTTTCTGCCATGTTTTTTTTTTTTTTGTGTGTTACGCCAATTTATTTTTATGCTGAAAAATAGATCGACTTTATTAACATATATACACAGTAGAGTCTTATCTGTAGAAAGTGAAATTTGTCCTGAACACTTCAATGTCGTAGCAATTGGTCTCCCCAAACGGCTGTGGAGACCAATGTGTGTACTCGTCGGGATTATTGCGTGCCATTTGTCACGAACAGGGGGTACACAGTAAATATTTTAACACCCAAAATCGTGTTAAAAGGGTGTTTTCTTTAACCAACACCCTTCCTACACCCCTCCTACACTCTTTTTACACGATTTTGAGTATTGGTGGGTGTAACAAGGGTGTACGAGAAGGCTTACACCCTACATACACCCCTCTTGCACCCCTATCACACCCACAATTTGAAATATGCTCAGGAAATCGTGTTTGAAGGGTGTAGGCACTCGTCGCAACACCCCCCGTTCATAACGTGTAGAAAGGGTGTGATGGACTTGTATGATTTCAAGGAGTCGGAGTTAATCACGTCGAAGAAACCCTTGTCTACGAGAGGAGCCGGTAAGGACATCGTGACATCGATTGATCGTCATCGCGGTATAGCAGCATGTGCCCCAAATCGAGGAGCAAGCTATGAAATGAGTCGGAAAAAAAATGTCGCCTGCATTAGCAAGCTCGAATTTTTATCTAATATGTGCTTTAAGCGGTGGATTTTATACTTTGTGCAATACCAAGACGTAGCTCAAATTGCTTGGAATTATGTAGCGATGCATCGGTCCGCGTCCCGTCAAAACTTCAGGACATCAACGAGAACGTGCAAGAATGCGCGTCACATTAATCTTACACAAATCCGCTTTCCGCTTTGTTCGGTCAATATCATTGTCATCGACGCCGTTTTTCTTCACGCCAGAGGAGAGGCCATTTATTCGTACCGGTTTTTGCCCGACAACCCGGCGCAAATGACGATGAGCAGTGCTCTATGCTTCCGTCCCCGGTCAAGTGGTTTTTAACGGACGTCCATACACTTTTCATCCACACGGTGTGAGACGGGCGTAATGTTGATACTGTCGATTACACCCATGATTTTATAACCGTTCATGTTTATTGCTTTGATGAAACGGTTGCTGATGTACGGCGGTACCAACATCCAATATAATTAATCGCCACACAAAGGCACGTACGATTAGGAAGTGCTAGAGAATGTTTTTTGCAACTCCGATCGAACTCTTCGTCCGAGAGGAGCCGAAAATTACATGTCGCGCGTGCATCAGTTTTATCAGTTCAACTTCGATTTAAAAAATCACCTCCCCTCGCAAAAGGTGACCGAAGACGTGTAAATATACAGCCCAGGCAACACACCGTATGTCGCCGATATTGGATCTATTCGAAAAGATTGTGCGCACACCATTTTGGTTTAGCCAATATTTAACAAATGGGATGAGTCGCGCCAACGATATCCTGACATAACGTACGCGACGCCGTTTTTAGTTGAGGGTTGAGAGTATCCTGCGTGAATCGGCTATGCCGGAGAGGTATTTCTATTTCTTTGCCGCCTAAAATACGACGTTAAAAATAAAAAAAAAAATATTAGCCAAAACGGAATCTGCTTGCTTTTAGCCCGAGAAGGCTTTTCCAGCCAAAAAGCGAGCAAATTCCGCTTTGCTTAATCTTTTTATTCATTTTCCTGTTAACTGCGCTGAAGCTTGGAACAAACAGTGGCGCCTTTTTTTTTGGGTAGCACAAACTCACCTGACTGAACCAATAAATACACTTCCAAACACATGAAGAAAAAAAGGAAAGAGAAAGAAGGAATTCCAACGCATAAACAAGACGACGATCAACGAGTTCTACCCAGAAAGCATAAGTCACTCCCCCGGCTCCACACTTTTCGAAAGGGAACCGCCACTCGAACAACAACAACTTCAAGGTCCCACATACAAGGCGACCCTCCCTGTGCAGCCCAGGAGGCAGCAGAAGGAGATTAGCAGCTTTGTCCACCCCCCTTTGACCTCTTCTTCTGATAAGCCTCCCCACTTTCTTTTGTGTCCGTGTGGCTGTGAGCGAGTGCGAAGGCCGCTTCTAGCGAATCACAGGCGTGGAGCGAAACACGTGACCGCTCTCCGTAGGACAAAAACGCTTGGACGAACATTTGTCACGCGACTCGCTCTGACGCGCTGATGGCTTACTGGAGTCATAGCCTTCGCCGTTTGCCAGCTTATGGTGAGCTGTAGAGACCACGTAAATCCGGTTTCCAAAAAGCGTCCGTCAGTGTTCTCTTTTCCGTGCAAGCAGGTCCTGACGAGTTCCATTTCGCGACCGTGGTTTTTCGTCGTGAACGGCCGGAATACATCTATGCCAACTTTTTCATCTATTGGCCATTTATTTCGTCGGAGCCTATGGAATTATTGTGCTGTGTTTGTTGGACGAGTTTCGACAAAGAGCTGCTCATCGGCGGACGCGAGACTTCCGTTGAATGTGATCGACCGCCTTCATCCTCGACATTGTGTTTGCGGTGTTTCGTGCTGCCCGAATCGGATTGTGCATCTATCGCGACAGAGAGCTGCTCATCGGTGACCGCGAGGCTTCCGTTGAATGTGATCGACCGCCTTCATCCCCGGCATTGTGTTTGCGAATTGTTCTGTGCTGCCCGAATCGGATTATGCATCTATCACGGATTACATGAGATCGCTCACTTATTTGTAAGTACTTTGCAAGCATGCTTAAAAACATGAACTGCCGCTTGCGTCCCAAGTAACTTCCGGTCGTTCCGTCTTTCCAAGCCTGTCGAGTTTTGCTTACGTCACCAGTGCTACAAAGAATAAATGTCGCAAGCAGGGTTCTCCCCAAGAATTTCTGAAAGGTGGACATTACTGGGGGGGGGGGGGGGGGGTAGAAAGTAACACCCCCTTTTAGGGTGTTAGACTTTAATCACACCCCTTTTTAGGGTGTTAGAAATCACACCCATGACTAAGGGTGTTAGAAAAATCACACCTTTATTCTAGGGTGTGAGAATATCACATTCCTTTTTTAGGGTGTCCGAATATCACACCCCTTTCTTAGGGTGCTAAGACTTACACCCATTTCCTAGGGTGTTGTGTTACACGAATAAGGGTGCTCCCCATAGGACAAGTTATTTACACCAATAAGGGTGTTAAAATTTTAAGTGTGTAAGCAGATGCAATATTATTTATATGACCAAAACGTTTCACAAAGTCTGTCACAAATTACTTTTGCACAAGCTATTTTTATATGGTGTTTGTCCACAGTTATGTAATTGGTTTAAGAGTTATTTCATATGTTGCACAAAACTTTTTTGTGTTGTAGTCAGTTTCTCCCACAGCTTTATTTCAACGTCTGGCGTTCCCCAGGGATCAGTTCTGGGTCCTCTTTTATTGTTAATTTTTACAAATTGTATAGTGTGATGTGTTGAAAGTTCGGAGTTTCTTCTTTTTGACCGATGATAATAAGTTTTGAATAAATCAGTACCCGATAGGATAGCGGATATATTACAGTGCAAAGTGTCGCGTATGCTCTTGAGGTGCAAGCAAAACCAGTTGTTGCTGAATCCTACAAAAACAAGTTATTTTGATATGTCTACGTCATACTCTTGTTGGGTGCACATATAACCTTGATGAAACGCCAGCGCAGCGCGCCTCTCGCGAAATATATTAGTGTGTGATTAGATAGTGCCTTAACATTTAAAGATCATGTGCATATATTATTGTGGGTAACACGATTAGAATATTGAGAGTTGTTTCACGCTCGTCTATAAGTTTTATAAACCCTTGTAGATTAATTCATCTTTGCAAATTTTAGTAAGGTTGCGCTTTGAATTTGCGTTTGTCATATGGTATTCACTATCAAAAACGCAGGACATGAACCGTGAACTCGACAAAAATATTATTCGTGTAGATTATGACTGATATTTGGAACTGCGTATTTATTATGACTATGAATATCTGCTAGAAAAATACAATCTTTCTATTTTGTCTAAGAGAAAGGAAGCTCGTGACCTAGTTTTTTTGCATAAAGTTTTAAACGGGGCTATTCACTTGGCTTAGCTCCTCCGTAAAGTTAGTGCTCTCTCAATTTTTCACCTACTCGACATTTAATATTTTTTGTTTGATATTCATTCAACATTTTATATTCGTTTTCGGACCCAGTCGCTTTATAGTGACATTGTCGCCACGCCGGATCTCGACATCTGTGTATCGGCCTCTGAGTTCCACCACTTAATGAGTAATTCGCTTTTACTAACTAATTTGCACTGCATGCTGTGTTTTGTGCTATTTTTATATTGCGTGACTTGAGTGCGATCATGTATAGTTTTGTTTCTTACTTTGTGTTTTTGTGGAAGAGCACCTATCTAAAGACCAATGTGATTATTTTGGACACTTTAAATATTAATAATAATATTAATAATAAGTATTATCATTATATAATAATAATAATAATAATAATTATTATTATTATTATTAGCGCCGTTATTCCTGTGCACAAATCAGGTAAGAAGAAAAATTTATCTAATTGTCGACCGATCTTTTTTAATTTGTACATTTTCAAAGCTTAATTTTTACAATGGTGGTACATAAAACTATCTTTTTTCTTTCAAGAGTATAATCGCGCACACCCAACACCCAAGAACACGCCCAACCATTACGGACGCCCAATCGCGTCGAGTTTGGTTTCTTTTATGTCAATTGTTTCAAAGTCTGCAAGCAATAGGGGGCAGGTGGATGCGTGCACATTGATCTCAGCTAAGCCTTTGACGTCGATGATTGGTGTAGTTTGCTGTCGAAGCTCTATCAATGTGCAGCTTGTGGGTCGTCGTATAAATGGCTACAGCTCTACCTGTGGTGCAGAGAATGCTTCGTTCGCGCGAACGGCACATGTGCGGTGAGGTATGAGGTCATGTCGGGGGGAGGGGGGGGGGGGGGGGGGTTAAGGGTCAGTGTTGGGGCCTGGTCTCCTTTCGTTCTTTGTAAATGACACGCTCAGGTTGTTTTAGGTTCTTCAGTTTTACAATATGCAGGTGATATTAAGATCTTTCGTGAGGTTCAGAATGTTGGCGACTGTGAGATGCTTCGGATGGATGGCTCAGTGACTCGTGTTTAAATTATTTGTCATCTCGAATAAATCTAAAGCAAAGGTAATGTCTTACTCGCGTAAAACACATAGCCTATGCTTTCCTTACAACATTAGGGCTGAGGCCCAGTGCCGTGGAATCTGGGAGCGACATTTGACTCCTCCCTACGCTTCGATGCACGTCTCTCAATTAATCCTGTTTGCCTCGCGCACACTGGGTTCTGCCTGCAGAGTGACTCGAGAAGTTTCCAACTCGAACACTTCAATTATTTTGTACCGCGCATTAACGCGATACTAACTACATTATGCCTGCACAGTTTGGAACGACATCTGTCCCAGTAGCTCCTTGAAGCTGGAACACGCGCGGAAAAAAAAATTGGATTAATCTCTCGACATAATTGCTATTCCGATAATTCGAATGCTTTGAGCAATAAATCTGTCAAGTGTACTTTGAATCTAGCCTATATTTACGCCGTGAGAACCGATTCGATATTTTTGTTGAAATTTTTCACGCAAATATTGACTGTCCTCACTTGGTGACTCAAATACCACTCAGAGCCCGACGTGTGGCTACCCGCTTTTCAAAACCGTACAGTGTTCCCTGTTGGCGTACCCATGACCTCTGTCTCGCATGTGTAGCGTATACAGTGATAATGCTGGGGACTTGGATCTTTTTGGTTGGTGCAAACCGAGTTTCATGAAATCCCTTGTACATTGTATTTGGCTCCTCAGACGCAACACTGCTATGCTGTCCATCAGATTGAAATTGTTCTTTTCGTCGATGTTTTATTTTAATATATCTATCGCGTATTGTTTACAGTACGTCCACATTGATATATTTTATGCGCAGATTCTATTTGTATTGAAATGTGCGCGTCTACGTTTGTATTTTTTAATGATTTACGTTTTGTTTGTATTATCTCTTCAATAGTATTATGTGGCGATGTATGTGCATGCTCGTTCAAATTTGATTTATGTTTCATTTTTTAACTGTACTTTTTCTGTGTCTTGTTGCATTGGGTGTGCCAGTACGGGCTGAAAGGCCGTTCCTGGGCACCGAATAAAACGAAGTTTCGATTATTATTATTTCACATCGGTGCTGTAAAGGTAAGCTTGAATATGATTATGTGCCCCTGCCTTGAGTATAATTGTTTTTTGTATATTATTTTCATATGGCGGTTGCGGTAGCAACGGGTTATACTTTAGAGTTAAAACAAGCTAGATAAAGTACGGTGGAAATTTATTGGCTCTTGCATAATCTTGTCTTTTGTTGCCAATACCTGTTGGACAACAACTGTTTCTGTACCCTCTCGGCTTGAGAATCTCTGGTAGCAAGAAAAAACGAAGGTGTGTAATTAAGCAGGTTATAACCTCGCACCTCGTAATACAGATAGACATAACAAATACCTTATACTTTTTTACACCTCCAGCCCGGGGTTTCATTCCTTCTTCGCTCCTGTCATAAGTAAAAACGAGGTGAATTTCCGTTCGTCCTAAATCTACTTGATGGACATAATGTTACTTATAGTAAGATTTTGCACCTTGTTTAATTAAACATATTTGATGTACACTTAAATTTTGCCCGTATTGTGTGGCCCTGTGTTGATAAGAATATATATATTGTGATTCACTTTCAATGTTTATCTGTCTTGTATTATTCTCGTGGTGAAACGAATATTATTTCGGTAGTGCTGTTCTTTACCCCCCATACTTTTAGCTGTATTAGTGTTATTACTTGTGTTTCTGCTTCATGTTGTTCTCCTCTTTTGTTTGGATTGGTGAAAAATCGAAACTTCCATCTTTAAATATTTGTGCTTGATATATGATATTTATATATTTGTTTTTTACTTATTGAATGTTGCTGGCTGGTTGCTATGTGACAGTCGTAGGGACCTTATTAAGTCAGCATTTTGAATATTGCCACTACAGCCTCATAATTGTCTGATGTGAAATAGATTATTGAATGATTTATTAATTCATTCTCTTAGCAAAACAAATGCTTATCGAAGAAAGAACGGGTCATAGGTTTCTAGTCGTATTACTGCAAAACTTGGCAGGGATGCAAAAGGCTGCAACCAAATACGGATCCGAAAAAAAAAAAACAACAACAACAAACGACTCTGGTTGAAGTAAAAAAAAAGTTAAAAATATCATACCTTGCGTAGCTTCACCCGGGGTACTGATGTCTTCGATTGACGGCGCACTCGCTGTAAGTATCTCAGGAGGGCTCTGATTACCTGCAACGGGGGTTGAACACCAACTTATGTCACACCGACGACTTTATTGCTACACCTGCTATTATTTTATTACTCTAGGATTGTTAGTAACACCGTGTTCGCTTAAGCTAAACGAGCTAGTGTAATGTTCACATGTATGAAGAGGTGTCGTCAAACTTCAAAGCACATTCGCATCAAGAAAGGAATTGAGAAGCGTAACATAATTCGTGTCTTGATATTTTCAGGGCGCGAGAGTTCCGTAATGCACTGCAAGCATAAATGTTTGTCAGGTTACGACGTCTCGTGATGATTCACGCAGAAAATAATTTATACTCTAAGAAACCGTACATTTCAAGTGGATGGAACAGGACGGTAATGATGTACGATTATGATCTCGTATCTCGAATTATCCATTTATATAAAACATAGTCTACGAACTTGTAAATTTAACAAAAAGTCTAGTGAGACACGTAAGTTGATAAGAGATAACAACTAAATAGGCCTTGCACCGCTTTGGTCTACAAACAAATATTTGCAGCGCTTTAGTAGAGGCAAATAATACTGCACGTGAGGTTGCTTTATCCGTTGCATTGATTCATACAAAAAACACGTTCTTATTCAGTAGCCTAATTACCTATTAGGCCTAGAGTAATAGTTATTTAAGTTGTAAAAGACGAAGCGAGCAAGGGATGTGAGCGAATGTTCATTAACCGAGAACTTTTGTTTTGCACCCACAAATGCAAGACACTATCTCTAGAGAGCAGCACAGACCATCAAAACCTTTGACTTATTTATCCCTGACCAATTTCCGTTAAGGAGTAAGAAGAGCGCGGTAGGAACAGCAAGTGATAATTAAAAGAAAAAAAATAGGCACGAAAAGAAGATAACGAATAGGATATAAGACTGCGTCCTGTTGTAACGATTGTTCGTCTATTTGTTCTGTAGAATGTTTACATGTACGTTTTGTCTCAAAGTGCAGCATGCCGATTTTATTTGGGGTATACGGGTCTACATTCACACCTTTAAAGGTATTACTATGGCAAATTATATCGACCCATTTAATTCACATTTATTAGGTTTAATTGCTGAACAAAATGTCCTATTTCACAGTTTTAGAGAAAAAAAAATGGAGTGAATGTGGTATAGGAAAGTACTTGTTTGCTAAAAATAAGCTGTTTTTAACATATTCAGAATACAAATGCCTCTCCGAGCTTTCTTTTCATATATTTTCTCGAAGCTCTAAAATAATCTGCAAATTTATTATACAGGGGTTTTCGCATAAGACATTAAAATTCACCAAGAACGTGATTGGGTAAGAGAAAAAAGCACTTTCCAGGAAAAAACTGCAGTTCACGGCGGACGTCAGGGGTAGCAAAGAACAAAATAATAATCTAAATAATTGAACAAAAATGTAGTAATTTACTTCTTTGTGCGTGAAAGTAAACACATAGTTCCAAATAGAACTGTTGTGACTATCATCAAGAACCACTATTTCAACAAATTTTGGTAAACGATAAGTGGGGCACAACAATTAACGACGGTCATTAAAAAAAAAAGAAAAACAAATCTCGCGCTTGTTAGATTTGGACGCGCTTTTATGTTTCGGTTTTCTACCTGGACGCATCTTTGCGCAAGTGGGCCCGCCTTCGCGTGACCGAGGCCCGCATCTACGTCTCGCGTCCCTCGTCGGATGAGAGAAAGTATGGCGTTGAGCGCCTCGGTCACCAGGGGGCAGGACCGCCGGCGCAAAGGTACGCTCCAGTAGGAAACGGAAGCCTAGAAACCGGTCCCAAGCGATCATTCTTTCGTGAACGCGGTAAAATTCTGCACCAGCCTTATATCATCCTAATATGAGTGGGTTTAGTGGTTTTCGATGATGCTCAGGAGGTTTGTAACTAACACCATATGTTTATCCTCTCTACTTAAAAAGTGTATTCATAAATTTCTAGTCAGTTATCTAGCAAATTAGTATTTTTGCAATCTTGAACGTCCACCGTTGCTGGCAGCTTGTTCCCGGAAGGAGTTTCTATTTTTCCGAACAAGCCTATTTTTAGGGATTTTTGGAAGCCTTCGCTGCAACAACCGGTGTACACATAATAAGCAATTTTCAGACTTAGGCACTCCTTCGTAAGTACAAATGTACCATAAAAACGAAGCTATTATGTTGTGTTGTGTAATAGAAAAAGCTGCGGTGTACATTTGAGCGTGTCATTTTCAGGCTACACACTGCACTTCACGTATCGCGCTAACCTCCTGTGGTCAGCGATGCCCTCCTGAAGGAGAAGGACAGCGTTCCTTGGGGTGCCGTTGGCCCATTGGTCGCTCTCGAGTTGGCTGAAAGAACAAAATGATTTTTTCAAATACACTGTAGTGTGGCAAACACTTGACTTCATCCTTGCAGTGGATACGATCAATTGCTGTTGGCAACTGTTGACATACCTTTGCTCTATCGACGTCTATTTATAGCTCCAGATTAGCTCATGTGATAGAGGGCTGTGCTAGTCTTAGGTTCTGGGATTGATTTCCGGCCCAGGCTGACTTTTTCAACGGACCACCGGTCGCCTAGAGAGCATAAGTTGAGCTCCAGCTCAGGTAATGTCAATTTATTGATTCGTATTTATATTTTTTCTAAGAACGTTCCATTAAGAGAGCGTGCACAGCTTCACAAAAACGCATGACATATTTTCACATTAGTATCGTAAACGCAATACGTGAGTGAAACTGACTGGTGCCTTCCGGAACAAGGCAACATTTTATTGTTTTTTGTATAGCGATTACATTTTATATAGCAGTGCGCCCGATTTTCCGCCAATAACGTAACGCGAGTTTGAAGATTTACAAATACAAAACTATGTTCGAACCCAAAATATGATCTGTCTAGAGACTTTTCGCATCTTCGAAGTCAGACTCGCTGTCCCTACACTTACGTAATTTCCCAGAGTATATTTCTGTCTAATCCTATTATGTATGACCACTTCACTTGCTACTGCAGCGAATTTTTGAGCTACCCAAACTAACCATATTTTCGGCATCACCCGTCTTTACCCTTTCCGGTATGCTATTTTTTATACCGAAATTCACATAATTTATTTATTGCGAAATCGGCAAGTGGAAAATGATGCCAAAACGGACATTCAAATATACCCGCCCTTTTCAATGCCGTGACGTCAGGGGAAGGCAGGCTTCGAGGCCGAGCGGGCAGTCTAAAGATGGACTATGTCGAGCATTCGTTTTGTGTTGCTGCACGGGTGCTTGAGCGAGCTTCCGAAGCATTCATTTGACTCCATGAAACCGCTTGTAATCAATTGGGAACGAAGTCTACAGTGCAAAGAGTGAATCCCTGCCTTCCGCTGACGTCACATTTTTATTGTTGCCCGTAGAAACTTTCACTTAAAAAAAAAGAAGACGGTAAAGAACACAGCTTTAAATTCAATACCTTTGCAAAAAAACATTATTTTGGCCCAATATTTCGGTTACTATTTCAGTGATGTTTGTTGGTGTGCTTAGCAAATCTTAAGTCAAATCGAAGACTATGAAAAAGAAAAAAAAAAAAAAAAACGCCGGAGTACCGCTTTACGTTCACGTGCTGTGAAACAAAATAGATTCACAGGAACTTCAAAAGTTATAAGCCAATCCACATGCACTGGCTTAGCTGGAAGCTCCTAGTGTGTGCCGGAGCATATACGAGTCATTTATCAGGTGTAAACTATGGTCACAGCTTAAAAAATTAAAGATGTTTACAAATCTGTAATGCGAAACTAAAGCGCAGCTCTTGAGAAGGAGGGAAAGGTACGGAGGGGAGGGTATGCCTCCCCTCCTCCTCCGTACCCTCTTCTCCTCCTTTCCTCCTCCTCTCCTCCTGCCGCTGAATTTGTTCATAGTTGGCGTGACACGAAGTGGTGACGTCATTTTCTCCACTAAGTTTGGCGGGGAAACTGAATTGGTGAAGTCACGTAACGTTAATTTCCCCGCTAAATTTGAGCGGGGAAACTTAGCACGCTAAAGTTAGCGGGAAAGATTTCCCATAAAATTTAGCGCAAAAATTTCCCCGCTAACTCTAGCGGGGAAACGTGATATAATGCGACGCGCGCAGTTACGCCGACGCCTCTGAACCCGGAAACGGCCGCCTAAGAGCTGCGCTCTGTAAAAGTCATGCTCGCTAATTTTCAAGAAAACTGTGGTTGTATGTGCAGTCACAGCAATGCTCGTTTTCTGTTTCGATCACATTTTATAGGTATGATATGTTATTGGGATTTATATATTTATAATACGTGTTCCAACCGATGCAAAAAAAAAGCTTTAAGCAATATGTTTTTAGACAATGTACGAACAATTTATGCAAATCATTTACTGAAATATTCAAATCGGTATGTTAGTATCAACGGATTTGCAACCTTCCTATTAATTTAATTGAAGGCTGGAAATGCCGCAGGCTTTCCGAGATATTGATTTTTAAAACGCCCACTGCCATGCAAAAAATTATTTCGTGTCGAAAGGGAACAAGAAATTAAATAATATTAAAAACTAGTCATCATTTCTATTGAAATAACTTTTATATTTGCGCAAAATTAAGACATAATGATCGCAAAGAAATACGGCGGCCCATATAAGAATGGCGGAGTTAGCCACATTCTCCATCAATGTCTCGCCTGTTCGAATAGATCACGCCAGTCAAATTTAACACTTCGATACCATTCCAGGCAGAAGTGTTATGCCGCTTGGGGTGGCCTTGACACGACTATCAAATCATTCAATATACAAAGCTTATCTAGACAAACAGATCTCACCAGCTGTTGTAACTGTTGTCTTTGGCGGTGTCAAGTTGGTTCCTGAAAGTTGAATTGGAATTTATGAAAAGGAGCAGTGGGTGTGTTGGATGTTATCCACTTACCTCCAGAGAACACAGGCCGCGATGGAGTACGTACTGGAGCTGAAAGTACCCATCAAATTAGAGCTTTAAATTTACACTTATCCGTCTGACTCTAGTTAACCGTGCCTTGTATATACAGCGTGTTTGATTTTAATTCGAACATATATTTCTTAAACGAGATAAGCGCTAGACGAGGGCCGCCTTTGCCATGTATGGGTTACGCTCTGCGTATATTATATGAGGGAATGATCGTCATGGCAAGTTGGATAAATAGCTAAAATAGTTAATTTTTAATTAGCAATTTTAGGGGTTACGTTACGATTGCAGTATTGACGGAAATTAGGCTATTGGAGGCCAGACAAATTGCAGGAATTAGCGAGAACATAATAGTTTTTGATATATTAATTGATAAATTTTCATATTTTTCGTCCGATGTAAACATAGTGCGTAGAAAGAGAATCGCAAACCCTGCCCAGAACGACGCTGACAAGTGTGACGCAGACGCTTGAGTCACATCGTCGCTTCTGTCGTAGGCGCAGTCACCAAATACACGCTGGCGAGATATTGTGACGGCGACATTTAAACGACTGCGTCACTCTTCCATAATCATTATGCACTACGCATGTCGCGCGCTAGTCGTAAACTGTGCTAAAACGTGAAATTTATCAAATACTATCTCGAAAACATTTACATTTTCGCGAATGCTTTCAATTGGTCTGACGTCCAATAATACGGGCCGTTAATACTGCGATTACGAAACGACCCCTAAGACCAATAACGAAAAAGTTATTCAACGGAATTTAGTAAATTAGCCAACTTACCATGACAATTATTCCCTTATCTAATGTCATCTGAGCCTGATAATTACAAGGCGAAGGTGTAACTGTCTAACTCTCCCTACCCTATTTAAATCCCTTCAAATGAAAATCAAACACCCTGTATGTATCAAGTGCAAGTTGCTAGAATAAATTGAACAGAACTACACAATGGCGAGGCCGTAACTTTGAAATTCTAGGCAGTGTATGATACTGCTGAAGATGCCATTTTATTTAGTCCTTGTGAATGCTCGAGAGCTTTCCGCAGCCGATAAATAGACCACTCATCAAATAACGCTGAAACTTTACCACAAGAGAGCCACAGGAAGGCAGGGCAGGATGCGAAACAATAAAATAGCTTTATTTTCTCACCAATTTATGAATGCAGACAAGAAAAAGAAAAAAAAAAGCTGCAAGAGAGCTGGATGATTTCATCTCAAAGCGTGCGGGCAAAACACGCCAAATTGTTAAATTTACCTAAAATATGTAAATTTTGGTGGATGGTATTTCTACCGAAGAAAGGTAAAAACCGCCAATTCGGATAACTTTTTTTTTTTCTGAGGGGGGGGGGGGGGGGGGGGGGGGGGAGAGGTGTGATTGCAGAAGGGGCCGGGATGAAAAAGTGTTTTTTTTTTTCAGACTATCGAAGGTCACATGTCTGACTCGCATTCCTCCCGTGGTTTTTACGTCCAGATTATTTTTATAACATCATAACGTGACTTAATTTTATTTATCCAATCAGCCTAAGCAAACTGTTTGCAAAAATGGAAACTATTAATGAGCTAGTGCTCGTTGTACTCGAGCTCCCCTACGTATACCCTCGTCAAACAGCATCACCGTGAGTTTTCTGAATCCTTATTTGTTTACGCAAACCAATGCAAGCACCTACTGAGCACTTATGTGTGACATTTCTATCGCTCTGACACTTTTTCGAGTGGCATATTCCTTCACGCAGAATTAAGCACGCCTGCTCCACGGGAGGCCCAGATTTGTCAGCCTTCTGCACAGATTCGATGTCGTATGCGGAATGATTATAGAAAACTGTAACAACCTTGGGTTGGTATTCGCGTCGTTGTAGGCGGCAAAGTTGGTCTTGCTGTTGTTGCTCTGCTCGTCGCACGCTTGTCTGAAATGGATCGCCATTGATTTCTAGTATTCGTTAATTGGAACAAGCTGCCATGCTCTTTAAAGCGACAGTTCCGTAGAAGGCCGGGCGCCTCCCACGGAACAAGCAAAATGCCCACTCAATATTATCTACAAGACAAAGGAAGCAACGGAACACATTGCGCAAGATTGCTCAGCATGGCATTTATGCGGTTAATGAACTGGCATCATTTCGAGGTGGAGCGCGCTGCGACTAGAAAAAGAAAACAAAAGAAAGACAAGCAGATTACACGGGCCCGCATCGGCTGTTTGTTCTTTATGTCTCTCTTACGGCTTGTGTTCTAGCCTATGATTACTGACGCCTTAAAGAATGCGGGGAGGGCCAGTTCAAAGCATTTTATGATTACTCCTAAATTAATGAAACTGTGGCATAGGCAGATATAGGACAGCCTGAATGAATCACGAAGCAAAAAGCGGGATCATGATAGGCCACTCCCCACGTTTTATTTGCTGTCTCTAACTGTAGTGTAACTGGCTGTTTATTGCCCACTTTAGTTTGCTCCGCACAACATTAAACTGGCCTTTCTATAGTGTGTTCTCGAGCGTTATTCGGCCCTAAACAAAATTCGTATAAGTAACCCACGTATGAACTATTGGGTTTAAATGAAATGCGAAAAGCAGAGCGCGTGGCCGTTGGTACACGCTGCGCCTCGTGGAGGCCTTTTGAAACTGATAAAGCTGCGGGTTGGGGAGTAGAGCGCTGCGAAGGTGTGCGTCATACTCCGATGTGTTTGACCCTCGTATAGCACAACCCATGCTTCGCCGCTGCGCCGATGGTGCGCTGGAAGTTCCGTCGCAGCCACTTACTTTGGCTAGGCATGAGTCACGCGAGGAAGCTCGCCGCTCGCAGCAGGAGCAGGCTGCTTGCGCGCGCGCGTCCGTGGACCATTACCGCCGCGTCATGCTTCCTCCTAGCTTGTCTTGTTTCTTTTCTTAATATGCGTTGTAATTTTCTTGTGAAAAATATAGCAAAAACTGTGCGAAATTCGAGACAAATATCAAGAGGGGACCCTGGACGGCTGCTGATGCCTAAGTGAAGTCAATTACTTGGCAAACTTTCATGTCGCAGCTCCCAGCGCTAGCACTGTGTCCCCTCTATTTTTTGTGTCTTGGGTGTGGCGCTGGGATTTCCGAAATGCAGGTCCACCAGCTCTCGCATTTACCAAACATTTTAACGAAATGCAGTAACTTTATCATTGGCATTTTGCAAGCAGCCAGAATCTAGTTCAGCGCGCTCATTAAATGATCACCCGTGTGTCAAGAGTGTGAAATAGAAGTTAAAGCAGAACGGTCGCACACGAAAAATTTGTGGAGCTTGTTTGACAACAGTTATAAGAACCATTTAGACGTCCTCGTGAAGGACCTAGAACGCATGGCTGCATCAAAATAGTGAAATAGCCTGGACGGTAAATTACGTTTATTGCCAGGTAGCATTTGTGGAAAAAGAAATAATGAACAACTAGGGAACACGAGTGCTGCAACCTACAAAGACTAAGCCGCAGGCAGCGCCGTAGCAGTAGCTGTCTGGACCGGCTTGCTTTCGCTGTTGTATATCGCTAAGCTAGTCTTGGTGGTTAGCCAATCAATACTTTGTAAAGTCGCTTTCAGCGTCTACAACGGCAGCCATCCGACGATGTAGACCTTCCATTATGCGGTATACCAGGTCCGAAGCCCACACCCGCTTCCTCTCAGCCTCGACAAACATGACAGCGGGCGTTAAGAAAAAAAAAATGAAGGCCGTTTACAACTCCCTGTAACGCCGAATTAGAGCGCAGTTCTTGAGGAGGAGGAAGAAAGGGTAGTGAGGGTCACGTGTTTCTTAGCTAGATTTAGCGGGAAAACTTTTCCGCTTGATTTAGCGGGAAAATGTTTCCGCTAGATTTAGCGGGGAATTTTTCCGCTAGATTTAGCCGGGAAATTTACCCATAATGCACCGCGCGGTTACGCCGACGCCGACGCCGACGGCGACACCGCTCAAGCCGGGAACGGGCGCCTAAGAGCTGCGCTCTAAAAACTGCGCAAGTGAGGAGGGACTATGACGCTGCGGTAATGCTCCACGGACGCGCGTGTGACACGCGCGCGCAAGCAGCCTGCTCCTGCTGCGAGCGGCGAGCTTCCTGGCATGGCTCATACCGAGCCAACGAATCTGACAGTGACGGAATTTTCAGCGCACCACCGGCGTAGCGTCGAAGCTTGCATTATGCTGGGCGAGGGTGAAACACATATGGGAGTAGGACGCACACCCCCGCAGTGGGCTCCAACCCGCAGATTTATCAGTTCCAAGAGGCCTCCAGGAGGCGCAGCATCTACCGAGGGCCACGCGCTCCGCTGTTCGCATTTCATTTGCACCCGATAGTACATAGTGGATTGAAACTTTGCACAAATGTGCCTTTAGATGGTGCTTTTTATGTGCTTCAAAATTGTCATATTATGTACAATATCTTTATGGTCTGCCTTGAATATAATCAAGTGATAGCGCATTTGAAAATTTATTTCGAATTGATGTTCTGAACACTCATTTTATCGGGCTCGGTGGTCGATATTTTATTGAAATGGGTAGCGTACTGATTTCAAAATACCGTTGGATATTTTGTTACCTCTCTTTGTTTTGGTTAGTAAATAGACGCGGGATTGCGCCTAAAAAAAATTGGGTTGTGTGTATGTTTGTACAGCCTAGAGCTTGATCTGCCTCCAAGGGCGACGAGTCTCCCAGCTGTAGATGAGCAATTTAGCCAGTGCAGTACAACCGCTAGCCTGGGGTCTTTAACGTGCACCACGCAGTAGTGATACACGACCGCACGCCAGTACGATGCTCATCCAGATCGAAGCGGGCAGGGGTGGGGATTGAACCCAGGATCCCTGACTTCTGCAGCGCGAGCTTTCGCTCCACGTGCTCCGAACTGGAGTGCGCTAGCCCATTCGGCCACCGATCCCCCTCATTTTACCTCAAGAACTAACAGGAAGCGCACACCCAACTCGACGCGCGTGGAGCCTAGGAACCAGGATCCCTGGGCTCTGCAGCGCGATCGAAAGCTCGCGCTGTAGAACTCAGGGATCCTCGGTTCGAGTCTCACCCCTGCCCGTTTCGATGTGGATGAGCATCGTACCGGCGTGAGGTCGTGTATTACTACTGCATGAGCACTTAAAGACCCCAGGTTAAGCAGTCGTACTGCGCTGGCAAAATTGCTCATCTACAGTGTGAACAAGTGTCGCCCCTCGTGGCAGGCCAACCTTACGCTGTATAAACACTAGACGTCCAATCTGACTTTTGACACTAACAGAAAACTTTTCAAATACTTATATCTGCTAGATAGATTAATGCGTCCCTTATTCCTGGGAGAAAGTCATATTTTGTAGAAATATTCAGCATGTGTAGGTTTTCAGTGGTAACATACTTTTTTAAGAACGTTGAGCGCCTTGAGAGCATTGAATTGTTCACAGAGGTCGCAGCAGAAGAGACGCCATAACCTCCAGCAGAGGTACTGTGCATTTATAAAAATTTTCAACGATATCACAAGAATGTGGTTCTCCCTTCCTTGTTGATTTTTGTTTTCTAATTTTGCTATGGTTGACACTTGTGTGTAATATAAAGCACATACTCTGTAAAACTTACATGCTAGGAAAAATACGGAATTCTTACCTGTCGTGAAAAACGCAGCTCTTGTCGTCTGCAAAGTTCCTGCTGTACGGAAGATAAGGAACACACAACATTGCGCCAATTTAATAAGCAAAGGACTCCACTTACCGATATCGGGTCTGGGTGTTGTTCTGAGAAGAGCTGAAATTTTAATGCAAGGTAAAATTAAGGCTCTAGGAAAGGCAACCTTGAGTAATTAGACCATACTAATATCATTTTTACCGTCCGAACAACTTTACCACAAACCGGAGTTAGCAATGGAAACGCTTTAAAATTATTTGCATTCTAGAAAAGAAGTGATATTAGTGCGATATTGTAAAAATTAACCGAATGATGCTTGAACACACACGACCAATTGACGTGCCTCTTGATTTATTTGAACATAAAATACGAGCCATTATCCATTCTCAGAAAGGTTTTGAGTTGAGTTATAGAAGAGCGTTTACAGCGGAGTTAAAAATATGATGCCTCTCAGTGTAATTGCTCTAACCTCCTGACAATCTCAAAATTCGCTGGAATGATTTCAGCTTTCAGAAGTGTAAAAGGTGATTGGAGCGGAAGGCGTGAAACCCTAGGAGTCAGTGAGACCAGAGGCTCAGAGAATCCACGTGCGAGGTTAAACAGATCCAGCGGAATCACTTTCTTCCGAACGACGTTAGTGCAAGTTAAGCCAGTGTACAAGTCTTAACGCGGCTTCATAGTGCATCCACTGGACATTTTTATTAGATTGCTGGTGTTTAAACATAGGAGAGGGGGGGAGGGGACGTTCGGTGTCCGGATGTGTTAGCGCACCCCCATTTTCGAAGCACGTGTTGGGAAAGCTCCGTTGCAGAACCCATGAATCATGGTTTCAATCCCCACCACTGCCTGTTTCAATCAGATTGGATGAGAGTCGTACCGACGTGCGGTCGCGTGTGAGTAATCTGTGAGGCGCGTTACGAACCGCCGGCTTGCAATGGTACTGCACTGGCTAAATAATTCATCTGCAGCGGAGACTCCAGTCGCCCACTGGGTGTGAATAACTTCACAGAAAAAGCACAATTATTACGTTTAGACATCAATATATGTCTTTTTTTTACTATCTCTTGTCAAGAAATATTAGGAAAAGTTATTTTAATCGATCCGAGGAATACTCTAATAGAGGATTTGATAAATGAGCATTTAGAAAACAAAACGTGGACGAGTTTTTGTACTCCTTTACATGGGGTGTGGCACCGAAAGCTCGTAACTGCGAGTTGTGTACCTCTGTAACGTGAGTACTGAAGCTCAGCTACCCAAGTAAAAACAAAATAGAAGCTTGATAATGCCAACAAAAACTAGTAAGCACAGAATATGCGATAGGCCTTCCAGGGAAGAAAGCCAGGGAAGAAACGGCACCCAAACGGTAGATTTCTTTTTGATTTCTGACGCACGCCCTGAGATGGCGCCACGTGACTGGAAAGGCCACGCGATTGAGCTCGCTTTTTGCATAGTCCGAACCACCAAAGTAACGGGCAATAGACCTATTGCTAAATAGAGCTGTAACAAAATTCAAGCATCAAGTAGAATGCTGGGAATGTCGTGTATGCGCCGCAAGCGCTCGCCTTCACGGTTTAAAAGATTCGAAGTAAATAACCAAGCTAAGGCATGACGAGCGCGCGTGCAAGGCGCCATTTGTTTTAAGCTTTTGCTTTAAACAATTACTGCTGCGGACGCCAGCAGACGCGGCACGTAGACCTCCATTTTCATTGGTGTTTGGGGGGATACGGTCCATTCGTCACATGCACACTCGTCACAGGACGATTGGTCACAGGACGACTCGTCACACAGAAACATTCGTCATAGGACGACTCGTCACATGGCCAACCGGTCCCACAATAGTTAGTTCCCCCAAAAATGTATTGTTCAATTTGGTTCGGGCGGACAAAGTGGCTCACCTCATATCTTAGTATGTCTTTGGCTTCTCAAAGGCGAAGAATTCGTAACAAAGGTTTTAGCTTCTGTTTCGGTCCCGAACATTGAATGTTGGTTCGGTCTCACAAAGTGGGTCACATCTTAGCATGTATTTCGCTTCTCAAGGTCAAAGAATTTGTAACAGACGTTTTAGCTTCTGGGTCCGTCCCGAACGGTGAATGCGGAGGCCATATAAGAGTGATTATTTTTGAACTCGGACTACATTCAAAATAATGGAGGGGATCGCAACAGAGAGACGCTGTACACATTCAGCAGAAAGAATTCCGACACTTATTGATTTTGTCGAATAGGTACTAGGCAAGGCAAAAGTAAAAACTGATTTAGCTGTCAGTCGGAGTATTGCTCCTTCAAGCCAGCAACTGAGATCAACCTGCTAAAGACTCGTAATATAATGAAAGTAAAAGCGGAAGAGGAGCATTGTAAGATTCCTAGCCATTGGTTTATGTGACAGTGGGAAGTCGTGAAAGTCCTCATCAGGGAATGTGGGCAGTTGTTGAAATTTGCGATTTACTATCGTCGCCTGCCCGATCGATGTGACCAGGTGCCCGCATGACGAGTCATCCTGTGACGAATGTTCCTACGTGACGAATCGTCCTGTGACCAATCGTCCTGTGACGAGTGCGCATGTGACGAAACGTCCTCATCCCGTGTTTGGGTAACAGGCCTTTCGCGATGTTACCCTAGCACCAAGAAGCATGTTGCGAGGGTAGTTACACGCAGCACGTGCTGGCGTCTTCAGTTGTAACTGTTCAAAAGCAGAAACCTAATACAAAGTTCATACCGCACGCTCGTTCGCCAACATCCATATTTGGTTATTTAGGTCGTATCTTTTATACGGGAAAGGCGAGCGCGTGCGGCGCGTATACTTACACTAGCAATAGCAATTTAGCAATAAGTCTATTTTTTTTTTCAAAGACACTGCAGCAAGGCGAGTGACTCTGCACCACACTGCATAAAGTTTCGAGCGAGGAAGGGTTTTGGAGTATTTTGTGCGCGGAAACCAGAATGTTCTGACAAAATTAGTTGAGGGTTTTAAACGTTTCAGCGCTCAAATCATCCAATGAGATAGGTGTGAGTGAAACTTACTGAATCTGCTGTCTGGCTTGGCAGAATCTGTAATAAGAAATGCGTATTAATATTTATTGTTTATTAATTGGGTGCTGTAAAGTGTGCATGGACGTCTTGTGCTATATATTTTGGACCTCTGAGTCACGGAAAACACCTGTCTAGGCTAATGGGCTTTAAAAAGACGTTTTCGGTATCACTTTATGTTACTTTTGTCGTACTTCGTATGCATATACGTATTTTATACGAAAGGGATGATACTCAATGTAAATAACTGAGAGGAGCCCGGTGGTATAATAAATGACGTTGGTAAAACACAGCAACGCTGTGCATTATTAGCCTCCCGGATGCTTGCTTTCTCAAGTTCTAAATATGAGTTTAATGGCGGGTTTTGTGTACTTCAGTGTAAAAAAAAGGCTATTTGTATTAACCCAGGGAGCAAGTATTTTAATTGTTTGTCTATTAAATCCCCAGCTCACCTAATTATATGAATAAACCTGTCAACAAAATAAATAGGAAAACTGCTGAAGGAATCTGTATCATGATCCAAGTCTCAAACTGTCTCCAAATAACCCTCAATATCTTTTATCCCCCGCTCTATCCTGAATTCAGTAGCCTTTTCGTCGCCTTTTCGAGCTGTCTGAGGGCACTCATTCCAATCACGCACAGGTGCAGGCCACTAAATAGAACCGGGAAAGATATAGGGATGACTCCAATATTCATTGATAACAAATGGCCGTGCGTCAACAGCCTCGGGGAGCACTCGGAGTGACTGCAATGTATGGAAGTAGCTCGGCGAGGGACAAAGTAGAAAATATGTTTAGACCTTGTTAAGTACGACAGTGAGCATGCGATTTCAAGTGCGTACGTCATGCTGAGTGTCATATCGCCGTGTTTCTTTAAATGATGCAACTTCGGCATTGTCATTCGCGGAGCTTCCTTTGTAGATGCAGTCGTTGCCTGTCCGAGAGTTCTACGGGAAAGCAGTCGTACGAATATTTATACAAGTGTCCTGTTGGATTGTAGTCTAAAGAGAACCAAGAATCATGACAAACTTGAAGATTCATAACTTGAGGACCATATCCCGCCCCTTTGCCTTTGAATAACATTAGTAGAGCACAAAGCGAGCAACTTGTGTTTTCACTTAGAATTTTTGTTCGTTATTTGCGTTTTTGAAGCGTCAAATCGCCTGCCCGGCATACCTTTCCCGCAAGTACAACAGCACGAAAAACCGAGGTCTTTATATTTGCAACGATCGAAAACATTTATTAATGTACGTAACTTACTGAATCGAAAGTCAAACGGTGTGGTTCCTGCAAAGAAAAGCACGAGAGAAATTGGTTGGTTGCAGGAATAATTTTATACTGATGCTCGTTGGGGGTCATGCTTGCGTCGAAACCTGCATTTGACGCTAGGGGCTTATCGTAGATTGCTTCCGCCGTACTGCAACGCCCTCCGACACGAAGATGAGGCTACGGTGCATGTCCATTGCTAGCCTTGCCTGCCCAGTTCCGGATAGCGTAGCGGGTCGCTTAGAGCGTTGCAGAATGGAGAAAACGATCTACGTAAAGCCCCTATAAAGAAACACTTGATGCAAGGACCAGGTTAATAATGAAAAATGGGAAGTTTGTAAAGTTGTTAAGTGTTCATGCTAAAAAGAACGTCAATATATTGAGAATAAAAGTAGAAAGGAAATAGGGCATGGTCTTTTCTCTTCTCTTCTTTCGCCCTCGCCTCTTTTCGCGCCTTTTTTTAACCATTGCCACGTTAACAGAGTACTCACGAAGCACACGTGGGTGTTTTAGAGCGCAGCTCTTAGGGGCCCGTTCCCGGCTTGAGCGGCGTCGGCGTCGGCGTAACCAAGGTCACCCCAAGGTCACGCGGCCCCCAAGGTCATCACAAGGTCACATGACCCCCAAGGTCACGTGACCCCCCGAGGTCACGTGACCCCCCCGCCGAGGTCACGTGACCTCCCCGATGACGTCATCGTCACTGATGACGTCACCGGCATCCGCATCGTCATCGTCATCATCACTGATGACGTCATCAGTGACGTCACTGATGACCTCACCGGCATCCACATCGTCATCGTCATCTTCATTGATGACGTCATCAGTGACGTCACTGGTGACGTCACCGGCATCCGCATCGTCATCGTCATCATCACGGATGACGTCATCAGTGACGTCACTGATGACGTCACCGACATCCTCATAGTCATCATCACTGATGACGTCATCGGAGTCCGCATCGTCATCGTCACTGATGACGTCATCAGTGACGTCACTGAAGACATCATCGGCATCGTCACGTGACTCCCCCAGGTCACGTGACCCCCCCAGGTCACCTCACCCCCCCCCCCAGGGTGTAAGATAGACAGGTGGGGAAACGACAGCCAAATGAGTGACCGCATTGTGTCCCCCTCGGCTTTCTCTTTTTCTGTGGCGCCATCTATGTGGAGCACCGCGAACTTTCACTCCAGGTGGGCGACCGATGGAGACATTCTAAACTGACGGAGATGGTTTCTCGTGGATTTTTAATGAAGAACTGTAGTGCTCTCGGCTTATTTTTCGCACTCTAGTATAACGTTCCACGCAAATTCGATTCCAACGCCATCTGTCGCAAGTCGGGGGTACCTGCAAGCAGACGAGTACACAATCCGGTCACGGCGCGCGGTAGGCTTCTATGGGCCGTTTCCCCACCTGTCTATCTTACACCCTGCCCCCCCCCCCCCCCCCAGTACCCTTCCCTCCTCCTTTTCAAGAGCTGCGCTCTAATTCGGTGTTACAGGGAGTTGTAAACGGCTGTCGACTTTTTTTTCTACCTATCATATAAATCTATGCCAGGTGTATACGAGTCTACACACTTCGCCACTTCTGCAGTTACTTGTGATATGCTATATAATTGATTTTGTAGTCCGATTACCTGTGAGCTGGCGGTTGGTGCCACCTGAAAAAAAAAAGAGAATCGTTGGTTTGTTTTACCCAACGGAATGTGGGGTTCAAAGGGCATTGCCTTCCTACTATTTAGGATTTATTTTGATATATTGTGCATACCTAATTTTTTGTTCGGAAGTCCAGCCCTGCTTGGTGTGTTCCGGGGGGTATCTTGTTCTGTAATCGTATCTGCATTGGAGATGGACACCATGCAATCATTTATTGGGAAACGTATAAAACCACCCGGGCTACTATGACTTGCAAATACAAATTATATATTTTTTAAACGTTTTAAACGAAAGTTATCTCTCAAGTTTTTAATTTGAGAGATAACCTTCCTTGCACTAGCGATATTGTTTAAACGGTAAAGCGACAAGCTTAGAAGGCAGGTAGTCAAACAATCGTGAGTAGAAAAATTGAACCGAGGCTTTGCGACCACGTGAATCAGTTCTGTTAATATCACACAATTGTTTGGCTGATTTTAGTATACAATCATGGATTCATGCTAAAAGTACACTTTTTGTTTACTGACATATTTTTACAGGCTTTAATTATTCTGTTTCTTGGAGAGCGTGCAGAGCATGCATTAATAGCACATACTGCCTGTTTCTCAGGAGCGTGCACAATCTAGCGATATAGCAGTACAGAACACGGATACTTTGTACCAGGCATTAAAATAGAATATGGGCGATTCTTGAAGAAACAGCATTTGATTTAATGACAATATAGAATTAAACGCATCCCTGGTTTCTCGAGTAGATTTTTAACTCAGATGCCTTAGCGAAGTCACCTCTTTCAAAACAATAATGTGTTCCTCCCTGATACGTGTCAATTCCTGTCTATTTAGTATTTATCAACATGTGTTTTTGATAAAAAAAAATGGCTTCAAGTCATTTTTGAGACCAACAGGATGGGAAATGACACGACGAGGGCAGCTTGATGCCAGGTAAGAATTGAATCTGGTTACGTATAAAATCGCTTGACAGGTAGGCTCAACGTTCCGCTGCCTTCACCCCTCGTTGTCTAACACTGCCACGGACGTCGTTGGGCCATTCGCACTATTTTCAAGCAAGTAGTTAATTTTTTTTAAAATTTAAGTTACGAGCGCAGGTTGTACAAGACAGATATTGGAGTAACGCTTTCGGTAAGGTGTATATAGGAGGAGCGAGATATACCTTCGTGGCATCAGCACGAAGGTATGTTTCGACGGCGCAACCCTTCAAAACATAAGTTTATATTGCCTGAAAGAAATATATTTTACGTCAAAATCGTTTTTATTTTGGTCTTGCGTCCGAGTCGCGCTAGAGCCGCTAACAAAAACAACCGAGAAGGACGAGCATCGAACACGTGGTGCGTATTCGCGATGGTACCTTTGGCAGGCTTTTAGTCGTTCGGTAGTCGTGAATTAAGCAAGTGATTGCAAGCCCAAAGATACCCTCACGTGCTTGATGCTCGTGTTTGAGCATAGGCTCGCTTATTCTACAAAGCCTGTCAAATCGCAAAAAGAACTGGTTTGAGGCTTGTCGCTGTTAGTTGTTTCTGTTTGTCACTCTAGTGGGACTCGTGCATTAGATGACTCTTCATGGATTCCAAAAATCTTAAAATTGTCCGCATATACGCATAAATATTGAACAAATAATCCAATTACAAATACCCTCTTCGGAAACACCGAAAAAATTAAAAAGGGGGGCGAGAGAATAAATACTACGTTCGAGTTAGCAGTTTTTTTTTTTTTCTCGCTTGTTTGACACATTTTTTTTCAGTGAATGGCAAGAGGAAAATGATCACGCGGCAAAATGACCGCGACGTCGGTTACGACCGCGCGCTCATCAATGTTCGTATGTGCTCATATATAAAAACAGCAATGAATGCCATTGACGTTAGCACTTTGAGTGGCATCATAATTGGCTTCTGTTGCTGGGCGTTTACCAATTTGCCTCACTTTTTTTTTTTCGTTTCGCCTTTTATAGAAGAAAACTGAGAAAAAAATGTTTGCCTACTTTCCTTTACCATTCTCTCACAGAATCTACGTCTGTCAGACCGAAATGAAAAGCGAACGCCGGCAAAACGTGGTCTTCAATACATGGTGCACCATCTGGAGGATGAAAAAATGCACATTGGAGAGGGGCGGCGAGTTTGTACGCATTTAATCGCCTCCAGATAGCGCAGCATGTATCGAAGGCCACGCGTTCCAATGTTCGCGTTTCACTTCGTTTTGAAAATATGCATGCGGATAACTACTACACTTTGTTTCACCCTAAGTCCAGACACAGCCGACGCTACGAGCTGAAGGAACCAATCAGACAGCTTCAAAAGCTCACCATCATGGTGTTCGTAATGTTTCCGTTCGTGTTCTTTCATTGCTAAAACCACCATAAAGAGAAAAGGCCTAGAGGGTTGCGCTTATGACGCTGCTTTATTGAGTCCGTTACCTCCTAGCGTCGGATGCGTCTGAACTTAGCTGACACGAGTAATCGGCTTTCAAAATCCCTAAAGCGTGTAGATGGAGCTTGAGTTCTAAAACAAAACAAAGACAAATGAAGTAGCAAGAAGTGCACCGGACGTTGTTAACGTCGTCAACTTATGTGGATAGCGGGTTAATGTTTACCAAGAATTCTGGGAAGAAACAGAAGTTATAACTAGGAGTGCGAACAGCTTCTGTTTAGGAAACATGACTTAACATTTGTTCAGTATACCACACTTTCTCTGGGAATATATTTTGAGCAGAAAAAGAAAAGGACTTGATTGGGTAGCAATGAAAAAAATATAAACTTCCTGCCATTATGCTTTAAGAGACATAACACGATTTGTTTTTTCTTTTCATTTCTTTATAGATCGGGATATCGTGTAGGATTACAAAGGCGCAACATGAAAAGGGTAATAAGCCAGGATCATAGTTTCAACTGTAAAACTTCCAAAAAATAAACGCGGCTTACGTCTTACTTACTGATTCGCAAGTCGTATTAACAGTAGCTCAATGCGTCCGTGTTTCCATGTGGTTCTTTTAGTTTGCAACGTAAGACACTAACAAAGGTCATGGACGGAGACCTTACGGAGTGTTTGACTGAATATAACAAAAGGCGTGTTTTGTTTATATAGCCGAATTACTGTGCAGAGTGAATGGCCCATGCTATTTTGAAAGGTTTCCGTTTTTTTTTCAGATCTTATTTGGTGAACGACAGAACATCGTTCAGTGAGCCTATAATATGTTTACAAATACTCGCAATAACTCGAATAAAAGCAAAGTGGGGAAAAGAGGACAGACAACTTACTCAGCTCGGAGTCTGGCCGTGGCAAACCTAAAATGAAAAGGTCAGTGTTGGCCTCTTATATGCACTATAATTGGGCAAAATAAATTAGTAGTTTTCAAATGAAATGAAAACATTAATTTGATTGCATATTCGCGCGGTACAAACAAAACGTTCGGCAACATTATATATGAAATAATTGGTACGTTTTTCCCCTTTATTCTGTAAAACAAAAAATGCCCAGCGTAAGGAGCGCGGCACGCACGCACGATGAAAAATATACGGCTGTATTTTTTGTGTAATGTTCATTAGATGCAATAGTCGACCTTGTATATTAGCGTGTTTCCTCCGCCCCGCCAAACCTGGATGTAAGATGTGGATGGTCATCGATTAGTTTCACGTGCTGCAGCCTTCCCTGGAGGGCGCTCGGTCGCGCACACAGGTGATGTGTTTGCCACAGCATCGCCTATTTATGTGGAAGAAGCGAGTTTTGCAGTGCGTTGTTTTACACGAGATGTCATCGGATATAATTACCTGAAGTAAACCGTTTCTCTTCCTCTGAGTGAGACATTGAGAGTTACTGCAGGGGCTCTGGTGGCAGTTGATTCAACCGTGTTTTCTCTAAGTTCCGTATAGGAAGAGCCAATCCATGACCAATGCACTGCTTACTACTGTATTGATCCTTAAGCCATTTTTGCTTTCGGGAGGGAATGATGAAACCAGAATGTGAGCATCGTATGAAACATGAAGCACCTGAGGAGTTAACACTTACCTTGTAACAGGTAAAAAGAGTAAAATAAATTATTTTCTCTCTTTTATACAAATCTGGTCCCAGACAATTTAGTGATAAAAATTGCTAAAACAAAACATAGGTTTGAAGCCTCTAAAGGTGCAAATAATTTTAAGAATGTAAGCGTAGGGTCGACTAAAAGTAAAAGTCAGCCTGAAGTTTTGAAAGACAAGAGATAGGACAAAGCAAGGTGTGATTTTACAAATTGAAGAACACCACACAGATGGCTGTTAGGGTAATGTTATATTTTGTTGAGCTATGAATAGCCCTGACCGACGCAAATGTAGCAAATTTTACTTACGACGCCAAGAACTCAGGTTACGTACGAGAGAATATACTTACCAGAAAAGAAAACACCATTCTTTTCTGAAACAAAAGACAAAACAAAAACATGTTAGTACACAAATTATGTCCTCAAGGGCAATAAAAACAAAAAGAAGATAACATGATTTTTTTGTTGTTGTCTAGAATTTTTTTTTCTTTTTGAGCCGTTATTGAATTACATTAATATTGGCCTCGAGATCGACCTAGAGGTGGCGCTACGGTCGCGCTATCGTCATCGTCAAAGAGGGGATAGGAAAACGGCCGCCCCATAGGCCTCCACCTTTGCGCGCGAGACGGCGTTGATTTTTGCGTTTATTTTGTCGAATACTATCGGTGGGAAAACAATTCTAGCGGAAAAGGATGCGGTACTGTTCGGTGATTCAGTGAAGATCGAATCGTGTTGCCAGCGTGCGGCCTAAATTTATATAATCGCTTCTGTGGGTGCGTCGTCTGCTCGAGGCAGACGTTGGAAAGCATGGATCACCACAACTGATGCCTGTCTCCTGCTGAACTGGAATATTTATGTTAAATATTTGTTTCTTTTAAAATGGATGTATCGGTTCATAAACGTGGCAATTAAAAAAAAAACAGTAAATTCCAACACAGATAACATAATACTGGTACTGTGGGATGTGAGATCGCAGCTTCTATGTCTTTTTTAACTTCTAGCTTTTGCAGTAATATAAGTATTTAGAATGAAGATAAGTTAGCGCTGTATTGGAAATTACCATGCTATTGAGTTCCCCTGCCCTTTTACTGTGTCATAGTGTGGGTAAGTATTTTGGAGTCTGAACAAATGTACTGCGTTGCGATGAGGAGAGGGTGCCTCTTCTAGTTAAGATCTGCAAACTGCACGGTTGGCAGCACCACTGAAACAAGTGAAACGAACTGTTCTAATATATCTGCCGTGACTGTAATAAACTGGTGCAACCGAGCAACGCAGCAATGTTCCTGTTAATAAATGCTTTTCTCGGTAGTGTGGGCTCACCCGCTTCAATTTTCTTGGTGAGGGCCACGGATGTCAAGAGACCAATACTATAAATTTCTGGCTAAATAATCTTGTATTCAAAAAGTAGATTCTGCAACCCCAACAATCGACGCGCATCACGACACGGACAGCATAGGCCGCAGTGATACTCTTTTACTGATGAGGGCTAGCGACCTTCACGAGACTTTCCGATCACCCTCCGCTCTCACCTAACGTATATCGGGACTGGGCAGTCCAGATTATTCAAGTAATGCTTTAATTGCAATTTGTTTTTGCCGGTTAATTGGAGTCTTGTGCTGGAGAAAGTCAACAATTAGTAAAAAATGCCTTCTTTAATATTTTTGAGGTCTTTATTTCTTTTGAGACACAAGCTTGCACGATAAACCACTTCAGCCTGCTTGTCATTTCACCGAGGTGATTATACTGTTTAAATAATAACTTAAAAAATATTTCATTTTAAAAGGTTTCCCGTGTTTATATTTATGTAGGACTCACAACGTGAAGTTTAGAATGTGAATGCAATAGGTCATTTAAGACATAGTATAAAAACCATTAAAAAGAGTGTAGTTTTAACGTCTTTCACGCAATATGACCGGCAAAAAAAATCAACATACCAATTTATTGATTGATTAGTCTATTAAAAATAGCGATCAGTCGGGTTAATCTTCTAATCAAACCACAGACCCACTCAACATTCAATGCTTTATGAAAGCCACGGTTTGTGCGAGATAACAATAATACGTGGGAACAGCGATTGTATACAAACCAACACACTAAGATTATGGAAGCTTCCGACTTAATAATAATCACTTTGCAGAATTTCTACGCATGGGAAACGATACAACACAGCCTTTAGTAAGAAGAAACGGCAACAAAAACATAAAGCATTTAATAAGCAATGTCAAGCTCAGCCTGAAACGGGCTTGCGTCGTCGAGATCCATGCTTCTGAGCGTGCTCCCGTAGCAGACGACGCACGGCGGTATCCCCGCTTTCGCGCGTTTCCAATTTCGGCCGCACGGTGGCGACACGGTTCGATCTCGAGGCGAATACCTTTACTAAATACGGTACATGGCAGACACTCATCGCCTAGGGGAGGAAGTGACCGAGTGGGCTAACGCGTCTCAGCTCGGAGCGTGGATCGAAAGCTTGCGCTGGGAACCTCCTGGGTTCGATCCCCGCCGCCCCCGCCCGTTTCGATCTGGATGAGTTTCGTACCGGCAGGCGTTCGTGTGATCACTACTGCGTGATGCACGTTAAAAAACCCCGCTTAGCGGTTGTACCGCACTGGCCAAATTTCTCATCTACAGCTAAGAGACCGATTACCCGTTGAGGCGAATCTCCATCAAGGCTGTATAAACATAAACAGCAAGCCAATTTTTTTTACACTCATCGCCTTTTGTGTATGTGTGGTGTTTTATAATAACCATTCAGCACGTTAAGCAACACGTCCTCGAGGGTGGAGTGAAGTGCAGTCTCCCACAATATAAAACACCCCTTTTCCGATTCAATTATCGGCTGCGGTGTCCTCCGTTTCAACTTAGGATGGACCTCAGTGGACGCTACGGTCAATCCCAGCCAATCTAGTGTTATGAACGCCTTCCGTGATTACGTGCCGTCCCCGAAGGTCCTGAGACACTCACACTGCACTGGATTAGCTTCGATGGTCCCTTGCGGTACATCGTTCAGTCAAACTGAGTATAGACACATTTTGGTCTGAGCCTCTTTATTTTTCGAGAGAGAAATTGGAACAAAGGTTCATTTATTTCCCCACTTCAAGTAACGTAGGCTTTGCCAAAGCAAATCCCGCGCAGCCACCTGGGAGTGCCTCGCTGAACGGGTCTTTCGTATTGTTGCAGAGTGCATTCGAGGAAGCCAAAGAGGTCGCACGATCACGCGGCTTGCAACCACCCACGAGCCAAACGCCGCACCGAAGGACGCCGACATCCGGCTTCTCGTGCCATTGTAATACCGAGGCTTATTGCCCTGGCCAAAACCTATTGAAAACTTAAAACTGTGCATATCAGTCGGCGTTACGGGATACTAACTAAACGTGAGTACTCTCGATACCGATAGTGGTTCTCGTGATATGCTACCGCCAGACTTGTGCCTATCTTAAATAGTCTGATTAAGACACCGTTTTTCAAATACTTTTGCTAGGATTTTGGTATCTTGCAAATTCATTTCGTCCCGAGCAGGGGTCGCCAAACTGCGGCTCGCGAGCCGCATGCGGTTCTTTGCGGGAACAAGTGCGGCTTGCGGCTGCATGGTAAGTGTTACCGCCTTTCTTCTCCTATCTTCCGCAAACAAAAAATAGTTCTTTAATTATCGACAAAAGATAAACTCACAGTCTTATTAGTTTTGTACTACACTACATACATGTACATACAGCTGGACTGCTTTTTGACGCATCGATGTGTCCAGTGACCCTGTTTCCTTTATTTTTCTAGAAAGAACTTTCAACTGTATAGGCATAACTGGCAGTGTCTGGCTATCGAACCATGCATCAATTTTTGCTTAGCAACTGAAAAAACGCTGTTCTGCTTTTTTTTTTTTTGTTATAAGCGACTTTTAGACTTGTCTTCTTTGTAAAAACCTGCTCCCTCCATATTGTTTCTTGTTAAAAGTACCCCTCCCCCCCTTTTTTCTTTCTTTTTTTCCTGCGGTTATTTGAATTTTTTGTAGTTTTGTCTGCGACTCTACTCCCATGTCACTCTGGCCACCCCTGGTCTAGAGTATTCGGTACTCTATCTAAAGTAAATTTCTAAATTTTTTTGTACTCAGTATCTCAAATACATTTTGCCACCTCGGAAAAAACTCTCGGCAAAACAATCTACGGAACTAGAGGCCGTCAGACTCCAGGCGAAGCTGAACCGATTGCTAACTTGAGCCGAGCGACCAAACACAGAACAGGAAACAAGGCACGAGCAAAACACAGCCTCCAAATGCCAACAAAAAAACGAGATGTATAGCTCCAAGTACGCCCGCCTCTATGTGTCCACTTGCCGTTTTGCCCACTTTTCTTTTTTCAAGCTTTTTTTCTAAACGTACGTTACTCTTGGAGCTAGAAAAGTGCTTGTAACGTCGTCCGGATTACACACTCGGACCACACTTTTTGTCTGGAAATGGAGTGTTTCCGTCACAGGAGGATTGTGACGCTAGCGCTCGGTGCGATCACAATGGATTATTTTTAGAAATCCCAGGTTCAAGGGGTTCCGGTATTAAAATACGCGAACATGTTTTCTTGCGAGGACAGCCACTCCCTCGGCCAAAGAAGCTACCGGGTGATTCAAGGAGACGGCAGGCTCTTTAAATCGACGGGAAAATTCGGTTTCTTTACCTATCGCGCTACGACTTTCTGCAGCGTTGCCCACAGATAGTGCATTTTTTTTTGTAAAATATGCGAAGAGCGAACTTACCTGAGGAAAAAGTAAAGAAAGAAAAAGGCTTAGCTCCCATGGAAACGCAGTGACGCCACCGGTCTTCAAACAACACGGAGCCGTTTCGCACGGGAGACAAGAGATGGCGCAAGCGGTCGCGACGCCAACTGCCGCCAACGAACGAGCAGACGACGCCGAGAGCCGGCGTATTTAGCAGACAAGGAACTGTTGTTACCGCGCCTGTTTTTGTTTCTGCGACTGTCGCCGCCCGCGGAACGCGCTCCGCTTTTGAGTCGAAAAGATTGTTTGCTAAAGACGCTGGCTCTCGGCGCCGTATGCTCGTTCGTTGGCGGCGTTCGTTGCGCCATCTCTTGTGTCCCGTGCGAAACGGCGCCGTGTTGTTTGAAGACCGGTGGCGTCGCTGCGTTTCCATAGGAGCTAAGCTTTTTTCTTTCTTCACTTTTTCCTCAGGTAAATTCCGTTCTTTGCAAATTTTACAAAAAAAAAAAAAGTACCATCTGTGGGCAACGCTGCACAAAGTCGTAGCGCGATAGGTTAAGAAACCGAATTTTCCAATCGATTTAAAGAGCCTGCCGTCTCCTTGAATCACCCGGTAGATCATGCTGGCTTTATGATAAGTGACCAGTTGGGCTCACCTAAAGCTCCTTGTTTGCCT